GAATCTATAGTAGCATCTATTGACTTAATAGTAGTATCTACTGACTATAGTAGTAACTACTAACAATACAGTAGTATCTACTAACTATAGTAGTATCAACCAACTCTATAGTAGCAAATACTGACTCTACAGTAGTATATGACTACAGTAGTATCTACTGACTCTACAGTAGTATCTACTGAATCTATAGTTGTATCTATTCACTATAGTAGTATCCACTGACGATAGTAGTAACTCTATAGCAGTATCTACTGACTCTGCAGCAGTATATACTGATTATAGTGGTATCTAATGACGGTAGTATCATTGACTCTATAGGAGTATCTACCGACTATAGTAGTAACTACTGATTCTACAGCAGTATCTACTGAATCTATAGTAGTATCTACTGAATCTATAGTCGTATCTATTGACTCTAAAGTAGTATCCACTGACTATAGTAGTAACTACTAATTCTATAGCAGTATCTGCTGGCTCTACAGTATCATCTACCAACTCTGCAGTAGTATCTACCTGCTCTACAGTAGTATCTACTTACTCTGTAATAGTATCAATCGACTCTATAGCAGTTAACTAACTTAACAGAGTGCTGTGGTGAGGCCTAGTCCTGTGCAGCGCCCCCGGCCTCGCCTAGCTTGCCCAGCTGGCCGAGGTGGCGCCGATTGCGGGCGGGGGGATGGTGGGGGGGGGGTAGCGGCCCAGCCCCAGCCAGCCGAGGTGCAACCCCCCCACAATCCCCCCGCCCGCACTACAGGAATGAGAATTCCCCCCCCCCCCCCCCCCACCGATTGCGTGTGTGCATTGCTATGGGAACCAAGGGTCAGCGTTTCGCGCATACACAGATGCGAGCTTTGGCGCGCGCTCAGCGTATTAATATAATGAATAGTAATACTTTGTTAATTGAACTACTTTAAAGTTGACGGATGTGAAATATGAATAGCGCTGGCTAACCCCGGGGCTTATCGTGTGGTGTCTGCGTACTTTTTTGAACGGTAAACCCCACACTTTGTGAATTAAAAGCATCGCAAGTTGTGTTCACAGAGACACAAAATTACTTTTATAGGATAGATTATCATCAATCACCACCACTACCACCACCATACCATCATCATCGTGATCACCTTCATCATCACCACCACTACCACTCCCAAACTCACCAATATCTCGACTTACACCACACCAATCACCACCACCATCATTATGGCACACCCTCACCCCACCATCACATCCACCATTGTAACAATCATCACCTGCACCCTCAACACTTTCACCACCACCACCACCATCCAGGACCTCATCATCCTCCTCACAACCTCACCTGGGCTTGTGTAGCTCGCACTTTCTCTTCGTGTGCTTCCTGAGCTTCATCACCACCGCTAGCGTCGCCTTCATCATCAACCACTGCTCACCCTCACCTGCTCACCTGAGCTCTTCACGTGCCGTTGTTCATGGAATGAGGCTTACCCGCACTCAGCACCGCACACAGTTGCCATCACCACCACCACCATCGGGACCACCACCCTCACCACCCATATCGCCACCACCCCTCACTTATCACCCCCATATAAAATTCGCCATTCTCACCACCCACCCCATCACCCTCAGCCTGACCACCCACACCATCACCCTTGCCAAAAACAACCATTATTCTCCACTAAGTGGTAGTGATGTCACCACGGTGCTTGTGCCAGGCTAGGTCCACTTTTAGGCCATGGCAAAGTGTGGAAGGCTCGCTGCTGGCAGGAGGACAGATCCACTGAAATGACTTGTCAGATGCACCACCTGTGCTCCCTACAATGCTACCTCGCTGCGTTTTAGCTGTCCAACGCTCTGCTAGTTGTGAGCATCGCTCTTCCGACTTCCATTGTTGATGGAGAGCAACTGCCTCCAACTGCCCAGTAGCGTCCTTCATGAGCCTCCTCTTCCATAGAGGCCGATTTTGACAACACTGGTACCAGTCACCGGTAAGCCCACTCCACTCCATATCCTTCTGTACCACATTAGTCAATCTCTTCTCTAGCCCTTGCTGTGGGGATCCATCTACCCGGCCAAATAGAATCTGCTTGGGCCAGCAGTGGCTGGGCATGCGGCCTCATTTAACCTGCCTGAGGAGCTCGCCGATGGGAATGCTTTCATATGTATCAAGTATCTGTGAGCTTCTCACACAATCTAGGCTGGTTAAACCCAGGATGGGTCAGGCAGGTCACATCATGAATGTTTCAAGCTGGCTCAGCTTGTGCCTGGAAAGGGGTCCACGTTTTGCAAGCACAGAGAAAGGGGAGGGGGGAGCATAACTGTGGCTTCGTATGGAGTGACAGGCCACGGAGCTCCCATACAGCGCTACTTTTGTAGCCGATGAGAAGATATTTTATCGCTAAATTGATAAGATGCGATACATCCATTGGCAAATTGGAGTTGGTCATGATCACACTGCCCAGGTATTGGAACTCTTCCACTTTCTTACACAGCTACCACATCACTCATGGTGAGTTGGGGGGGAGGGTTATTTGACGACAGGCAGGTGCTTTGTGCTGGTGGGAGCTGATAATAAGGTCTTACCTCTCAGTGGCAAGTTCCTGGTGAAGAATGGATATTGAACTCTGACCCTCAGGAATATGTATAGAGATTTACTGACCATTTTTGTGAGGTTTTGGTGCAGGTGGGGGGTTATTTCCTAAGCTCAAACAACATCATGGGGCAAGGAGGGCCTGTTCCTGCAACGGTTGCCGAGAAGAAGTAGCCACCCCCTGTGAGTGGCTAGCTGATGTGCCATCAGCCAAGGGGGTATGAGGAACAATCCGGAGGGTGAGACCAGGTAAAGTCCTGGGTAGAGATGACTTCCCAAGCGAACTGCTGAGGAGGGTGGCGACTGCGTGCAGACTCTGCTACGTGACAATTGCTTGGAACGCATGACGGATTCTACGGGATTGGAAAAAAAACACCCGGGTGGTCGCCCAATTTGAAGGGGGACTGCACCGTTTGCAGTAACTACCGGGGAATCTTCCCTCCTGAAGGCGCCGGGAAAAGGTCCTGGAAAAGATTATTAAAAATCGCCTTGGAAGCCAACAGACTCGCCGAGAGGTTGCGAAGCCCCCAGTGTGGTCCCGCACAGACGCTGTTGTCTGTCTGCTACAGCAGAGGTGTAGGGAATTTCAACAGGACCTACGACTCCGCTTTATGGACCGGGTCACGGCCTATGATAGCACCAATAGGCCAGGGCGTTAGGTTGTTTTCTTTGGAGTATTGGGATGTGACAGCGATGTCGAATTGCTGTATAGTGCAATTCCCATCTTGTCCAAATACAATGGGAGGCTGACCAACACCTGGGCAAAATCCAGGGATGGCTCCAACTAATGACGACTTGGCAAATGCTTCCTCACCACCACTATATCCACACCACCCTCTCCTCCCTCACCACCTCACCACAATCAATTCCACCATCACTCACACCACCACACTTACCAGAACCACTACCATCATCATGTTCATTGTGCCCATCACTATGACCACCCCATCACCCTCACTACTATCCTAACCACAGTCACCATAAAAACCTTCACAACTACCACCAAGAACCCTCACCACCACCTTCACCACAACCAAGACCCACACCACCATCGCAACAGTCACTACCACCATCACCCCACCCCTTTCACATCCACCTCCACTATTACCAGTCATCATCATCGCATATATCACCACTGCCACCATTGCCCTCACTTCCCCCTTCAGCACCGCACTCACCCTCACCACCCACACCACCCTTGAGCATTCATTGCCGCAAGGCATGTAACGATGCATCGATTCGCCGCGTTGACGCAGACTAGTGGGCACGGGGTACGCGGTGCATCCAATCGTGCGCGTGAGAATCCATCAATGAGTATTTATGCAAATGACATGCAAAAGTGGACCAGTGGAGACAGAAGTAATGAGAAACTATTCAAATGAGAAGTTTATATCTTGTGTAAATCTATTCTTGGAATATAATTGCAACCCTGAATCGAAGTGGTGTAGTCGTGTGGTTGACATGGCAAGGGCCCTCGTGCAAATAATTTAAGTTGAAAACTATTAAACTATTGTTCGTTTTAGCAGGTAAGGCCCCACTGCGCTATGTAGCGTTTTTCAGAAGCAACCTAGGCGCAAGTGACAGCTCAACGAAGTGGCTTATCTCGTGGAAATTTATAGCAGCCAAATACTCAACGCGCGTTTATTCTAAACGTGGAGGGGATAAACCGGAGGACCTGGAGAAAAATCCACGCTACCAAGGGGAGAACGTTGAAACCCCAAATATTCAGGGGTCAGGGTCAGGATGGAACCCACGACTTCCTGTATACCAGGTGAGGGAGTTCACATTTCGCCATCGTGCCGCCCCTATAAAGGGACGCCCCTATAAAGGGACGCCCCTATAAAGGGACGCTCCCCAATCACTATTTTAATTTCCCCCCAGCCACCCCCTCTTTGTCGCCCGGCAGTTGGGCCCATGTGCAGTTGCATTGCCTACACCACCTGATACCTCTGCCACTGAATCTTACCTTAGTCTATGGTTTATATGTTAGTCCGTGGGTCTCCATTGTGAGTTATTGTTCTGTGTGTCCGCCAGTCTATGGGTCCGATGTTTGTCAATGCGTTGTTAGTCTACTGGCCCTTCACATAAGTTTGTGGATCTCTAATAAGAGTCTACGGTTCTCCACGTTTGTCTTTGGTCGAACATGTAAGTCTATGAGGTCTGCGATTTCACAGGCCCCGCGGGAAAGGAATTAAATAAATGAGCCCCCCCTTCTCCTTTTAGCCTGCCGCCTGGGCCCCTTTAGACCGTGGCAGCGCGGGGTGCAGTTGCACCGCCTGCACACCCGATAGCTACTCCACTGACGAATCACAAGAGTCGAGGGGGTGGTGGAGTGGATCGAGTAAAGGGGTGTGTGGGGGGGTGGGGGTGAATCGTTACATGCCCATACAGCAGCAGCCTCACTCTCCTCACCCTCCCCCATCACCCTCCTCACCTGAGGTCCTGGTCGCTGTGCTTCCTGCGAAGGTGCTCCCGCAGCGCCGTGGTGCTCTTGTGGAAGGTGAGGCACACCCCGCACACGCGGCACCGCACCAGGCTCCCCTCGGGGGGGTCAAAGTGCTCCCACACGCGCGACCGCTTCTGCCGCAGCACCTGATGCCGGGGTCTTTCTCCAAGGGTCCCATCACTCCCCCGCCGCCACCGCCACCACAGCAGCCACCGTCATCGTCACAGCCATCGTCGGCACAGGGCTCACAGCCGCCTCAGTCATCACGCCCTCCACCGCCGGCGTCGATCACCGCGTACGTCACCACAGATCTCCTCAACCACGTCCACCACCACCACCACCACCGACGTCATCACGTCCATCACCACAGATCTCCCCAACCACGTCCACCACCACCACCACCACCACTGCTGACGTCATCACGTCCATCACCACAGATCTTCACTACGTCCACCACCACCACTGACGTCACCACGTCAACCACCACCACTGCTGGCGTCATCACGTCCATCACCACAGATCTCCACCACGTCCACCACCACCACTGACGTCACCACGTCCATCACGACCACCACCACTGACGTCATCACGTCCATCACCACAGATCTTCACCACGTCCACCACCACCACCAACGGCATCATCACGTCCATCACCACCACCACCACTGACGTCATCAAGTCCATCACCACAGATCTTCACCACGTCCACCACCACCACCACCACCGACGTCACCACGTCCATCACCACCACCACTGACGTCACCACGTCCATCACCACCACCACTGACGTCATCACGTCCATCACCACAGATCTTCACCACGTCCACCACCACCACCAACGGCATCATCACGTCCATCAGCACAGATCTCCTCAACCACGTCAACCACCACCAATGGCATCATCATGTCCATCAGCACAGATCTCCCTAACCACGTCCACCACCAGCACCACCACCACTGACGTCATCACGTCCATCACCACAGATCTCCACAACCACGACGTCCACCACCAGCACCACCACTGCTGGCATGATCACGGCCATCACCACGTGTGTCACAACCACTTTCACCACCACCACGATCATCATCACATCCGTCACCACCCACACACCATCACTCTCACTTCCCTCACAGCTCACCAACGTCACCCTCACCCCTCTCACTACACACCACACTCATTCCACAATCTCCCATCACCATTATCCCACCACTACTCTCACCCACCCACCACATCACTCTCCTCACATCACGCCCATCTCACCACACCACTCTCACCACAATCTCACACTATACTTGCACAGTATCTCTCACAATAACCCCCGTCACTTCTCTCACCCATTTCCACTCCCCCGGCTACTCCTAACCCTCACCACTACCCCCCTTATCATACCTCCCCCGCCTATCATCTCACCGTCACCTCTCTCACCTCATCCCCCCACTCTAACTCACCCTCCCCCCCATCTCTTATGTCACCCTCAGTCCTGCTCACTCCACCCCGCTCACCACTCACCCTCTCACCTCCCTCACCACCCCCAACCCCTTCATCACTCACCCTCACCTCGACTCTCTCACCACCCCCAACCCCCCCCCCCCATCACTCACCCTCACCTCGACTCTCTCATCACCCCCAGCCCCCCCCCCCATCACTCACCCTCACCTCGACTCTCTCACCACCCCGCGTCCTCACCACCCCCAACCCCCCCCCCCCATCACTCACCCTCACCTCGACTCTCTCACCACTCACCCTCTCACCTCCCTCACCACCCCCCCCCCCCCCCCCATCACTCACCCTCACCTCGACTCTCTCACCAACCCCCCCCCCCCCATCACTCACCCTCACCTCGACTCTCTCACCACCCCCAACCCCCCCCCCCATCACTCACCCTCACCTCGACTCTCTCACCACCCCCAACCCCCCCCCCCCCATCACTCACCCTCACCTCGACTCTCTCACCCTCTCACCTCCCTCACCACCCCCCCCCCTCCCCATCGCTCACCCTCACCTCGACTCTCTCACCACCCCGCGTCCTCCTCACCACCCCCACCCCCCCCCCATCACTCACTCTCACCTCGACTCTCTCACCACTCACCCTCTCACCTCCCTCACCACCCCCCCCTCCCCATCACTCACCCTCACCTCGACTCTCTCACCACCCCGCGTCCTCCTCACCACCCCCCCCCCCCATCACTCACCCTCACCTCGACTCTCTCACCACTCACCCTCTCACCTCCCTCACCACCCATCACTCACCCTCACCTCGACTCTCTCACCACCCCGCGTCCTCCTCACCACCCCCACCCCCCCTCCCCCCATCACTCACCCTCACCTCGACTCTCTCACCACTCACCCTCTCACCTCCCTCACCACCCATCACTCACCCTCACCTCGACTCTCTCACCCCCCCCCCCATCACTCACCCTCACCTCGACTCTCTCACCACCCCGCGTCCTCCTCACCACCCCCAACCCCCCCTCCCCATCACTCACCCTCACCTCGACTCTCTCACCCCCCCCCCATCACTCACCCTCACCTCGACTCTCTCACCACTCACCCTCTCACCTCCCTCACCTCCCTCACCACCCATCACTCACCCTCACCTCGACTCTCTCCCCACCCCGCGCCCTCCTCACCTGAGCTCCTGCAGCGCGTGCTTCCTGCGAAGGTGCTCCCGCAGCGCCGTGGTGCTCTTGTGGAACATGAGGCTCACGCCGCACACGCGGCACCGCACGCGGCTCCCCGCGGGCGGGTCGAAGTGCTCCCACACGCGGGACCGCTTCTGCCGCAGGGCCTGGTGCCTCACCGGGGGGGTCCCAGCCGCGGGGGAGCCGGTCCCCGCCTCGGGGAGGTTCGCTACCCCGCCGCCGATCCCGTAACCGGACAGAGGCGGCAGCGGGGGTAGAGGCAGAGGGTCCAGGGAGGGGTGGTGGTGGTGGTGGTGGTGAGGCTGCGGGTCAAGGGGATGCGAGTTGAGGTCTAGGGGATGATGGGGCCGGGGACCCAGGGGGTGAGAGTTGAGATCCAGGGCGGAGTGGGAGTTGAGGGGGCGACGAGGATGGGGCTCTTTTGGCGCGGGGGACCCCGCGCCTATCGAGTCGTGAGGGCGAGAGTCGGCGTTTTGCGAAGGGGTCTGCGGGGTCTGCGGCTCGGGGGTCGTGGTTTGGGGTTCCGAGCCGCGGGGGTGAGGGGAGTCGGGGTCCTGAGCCGTGGGGGTCTGCGGGGGATCCGGGCCCCCCACTGTCGTCTCCTCCTCCGCCTTCTCCTGCCCCTCGCGGGGTGCACCCCCCCTCCTCCTCCTCTCCGAGAGCGCCGCTTCGTTCATTCGCGCCGAGAGCGGCAGCCAAACGACGACGAAGGAGAAGACGATGATTATAAATAATTAATTAATTGCGGTGACGCCGAAACGATTACAACAGCGAGTGCCGCACTCCAGACATGATAATCAGAGCGGCGTTCACTGCACTTGACGACGAACAACCTCGTCGACTCTAACGACGACGACGACGAAACAATGGAGCCGACAAGCCGGGCGAATGAAACGACTTTGACTGAAGCTGCTGCAGTAGCAGCAGCAGCAGCAGTCAACGACGACTAACGTAGAGCGAAATCGACTACGGTGCAAACGACGACGACGATGATGACGACTGACGACGATAACGGTAACAACATCGACGAGCGCCGCAGCCACACTGACGAGGAGGAGAAGGGGGCGACGATGATGATGCAGGGAGGAGGAGCGCCGAGACAAAATCGATCAATCGATTACGGCGCCTGTCTAATCGACTTGCCGAGTAATCGATTCAGTGAGGGGAGGGGAGCGAGCGGGTGCCCGGGCCGTGGGGGAAGGGTGGGGGTGGTGCAGATCCCCCCGCCCCTCCCCCACCGCCACAGGGTTGGGGGGTGAGAGAGAGGCATTCTCGATCCACTGCTGCATGAACGCGTCGCGCAACATCTCTCGCACCAAGCCCGCGGTGAACGGAGTCGCGCAGCCGTGATCGAGTCAAGCCGGGGGGGGTGGGGGGTGGGATCCACCCGTAGCCCCGCCCCTCGCCTATCCCCCACTGCAGGCCCCCCCCCCGCCCCTCGGCCTCTCATTCATTGAGAATCGAGCCTCTCGGCGCGCGACTGCCCATGACTGGGACCGGTGCGCGCGCGCAGGGGGGGGGGGGGTCACGTGGCGCGCGCGGGGTCACTCCCCCACCGCCTCCCCCTCACCCACCCCCTCCCTACAGCGCGCGCTCAATGATGAATCGATTGATCGATTATGAAGCCGATTCCCCATCGTAGGCGATTCTCGAGTCGATCCCCGTCTGCTGCGCGCCCTGTGGATTTAGCTGCGGCATTCGCGGCTTTAGCGTTAGCACCGACGCCACACATCATTGTGCGCGGCCGGCCTGTGCGTTGTCGCTGTTGCTGTGTGCGCGCTGCTGCCGTTGCAAGTTTCGTGATTAATCGCCAGACGTCGATTCGGGTTTGCGATGAATCGTAATCGCTTCGCGCGCGCCCATAAGAAAATCGGTATTCGATTCGTTCAGACAACTTACAGATGACGAGATGGGACACCCATTGTAGACAATACAATACAAACTCTATTGTAAATAGTGGACAATAACGAATGTATACACGATGCAGATTTGATAAAAACAATGCACACAAGCCAGACAATACAATGAATAAAATACAATGCAGACAAGACGAGACAGAACCACACACGAGATAGAGACAGACAGGATAAATAAAGATTCTAATTTTGTGCGGTTCAAGCCAAACACAAAGGGACCGTGAGGTTTCACGAAATCAATGTGAATCGAATCGATGTGACAGACGTCGATTCCCTGGATCGCTGTGGGCCAACGGGGTGGGGGGAGAATCACGAAGTCGTGCCGCACAAGGGCGCGGGGGAGATCAATGCGGGGGATGGGGGGGGGACGCGGACCCCTCCCCCCAAGGACCCCTAAGGGCCCGGATCTCGCCTCCACCACCCCCCCCCCCTTGATTTGCAGGAGCCCACGTTGCGACTCCTTTGTCTATACTCCGTCGTGCCGGACGGCATGCGTGTGTCCAAAACCATCACAGGCAACAACGGCCGACACCCACAACCAGCATCGCCACAACAAGCAGAAATTTTTGCCACAACAAGCAGTAAATTTTTACCACCACAACCAGCATCGCCACAAACATGATTACTGCCACCGACAAGTACCATCGCCACAACAAGCAGGATCTTTACCACCAAAATCATTATTGCCACCACAAGCACCATCGCCACAAAAAAAGCTACGTGAACACAATCATCAGTCACAACTTCCCACTACACATCCAGCAGAGCCAACATTGTTACCACCACGAACACAAAACCATCAGCCGCCACTACGCAATAACCTGAGCCAACATTGTCACCACGATCACATCAACCAACAATCCAAAATCACAACCGCCATCCACAACTACACAATCACCAATCATTACCTCACCTATAATCTACAAGCACAATCGCAACTGCCACTCATACAGTCACCACCATTCACCATCTCCGAAATCTAAACTATTTTTTTTATTTTACCAGAGAAGGCCCACTGAGCTGTTTCGCTCTTTTTCAGAAGCCACCTATCCACAAATGATAGCTCAACGAGGTGGCTTGTCACGTGGAAATTTATAGAAGCCAAATACTCGAAACGCACGATTATAAAAGTGGAGGGAAAACCTCAGAGAAAAAATATACATGACCATGAGTAGAGCTCCAAATATACAGGCATCAGGGTCAGGATCGGACCCACAACCTCGTACATACGAGGCGAGGGAGATACCATGTCGCCACCACCACCATACAACACCCGCCATTCGCCACGAAGTGGTGGAAACGTCACCATGGCTCCTGTGCCAGGCCACTAAAACCACAACTACCATCCACACGAGAATCACGTCTCCATTACCAACACCACTCCCCCATAACTGTCATTCGCCCCGAAATAGTAAAAACATCACCAGGCTTGAGCCAGACTAGGTGCACTTCTTGACTGTTGAGTGTCCAAAGCGTGCTGGTAGACCAAGGCAGATACTGTATTATGGATGAACCAAGATGATTGGCACCCATGCCCCCTCGCTTTTGTTGGGAGGGCGACTGCCTCCAGCTGCCCAGTAGCATCCTTCACGAGCCTCCTCCACAGAGGCCAATCTTGATACCGCTGGCATCAGTCCTCATTTTCCCTATCCCATAACGCCCCCATTTATGACCCGCAACCTGAACATTTTGCGGCTTGGGGGAGTGGAGGAAGTCGCATCACCACAACCATTATTAAATTACTAATGATATGACTCAATTGGGATTACAAAGCAACATCGCCCCCTACTGCAGAACGACTGCAGACTGTAAGGAACCCAGTGCCTTCTTTCGTGATAGCTGTGCACTCTAAGAATGGTGCAAATACCAAACTAAAATTAAGATCGGCACCATGTCAATAACGTCGACCACTACCATATCACCATCCCTCAAATCATTATCAACACCACGTTACAACACCACCCTAACCATCAACACAATCATTAACAACCGCTATTTGCCACTCACTGGTCAGGCCAGTCAAACCATGGCACCAGAGACTGTCCCGTGACCTGTCAGCAAGCCTTCGACACTTTACATGGCCTCGGAGTGCACATTGTCTGGAACAATCATTAACACCACCACAAGCATCACAACCACCACTCCCACAACCACCATTGGCAGCTTCACCACCACGGGCAAGCCACCCACAAGAGCTGTGTACAGGCGTTTATTTGTAAACTACATGCATTTTACAATGGACAAAGAAAAATTATACATACGCGTGGGCCATGCAAGGCTTTCCAACACGTGTTGATTCTCACAAGTATTAAATCAGCGATAATAACGGTAGCATTCACACGAGGCACGCAGGAACCGGTATATACGTAGATGGCGGTGTGATGTGACGAGGCTCGGAGAGCAGCTCTGCCGGGAGAGGGGGCATGTGGACCCCGGTCGGCAGGACTGGGATGTAACCAGTGCCTTTCAGCACTGGTTTTTGTCTGCAGGATTTGGCAACCCCTTCATCAATTTGGCTAGTTTTCTATCAGGGCAAGTTCACACAACACAACTTCACTCTCAATTATCACCAGACAGATGAATGTTCCGACAGACAGAGCCAATATCCGTAAACACCCACAACCATAGTTGTAAAGCGTTAAGCAGCTTTGCGACAATGCTAATCAATTTACATCACATGTCACTCAACACCATCACAGACAGGTCACTGGCTAGATACTAACGACAAACAGGTGCACGTATTTCGCAGAGGACAACAGTGAGTAGAGGAAAGTGGTGTTGCTATACGGGGACGGGAGCGACGTGTTAAGGACAGCTCTGTGCGCTGTTAGAGCTTTGTGTAGACACAGCTTTGTGTTGACAGCTGTGGTGTGCTGCTGACACTGCTTTGTGCTGACACAGCTATGCGACAACAGCTGTGGTGTGCTGTTGACACGCCTATGTGCTGACTGCTGTGGTGTGCTGTTGACACGCCTATGTGCTGACAGCTGTGTGCTGGTGACACAGCTATGCGCTGACCCACCTGTGTGTGTCGGTGACACGGCTAGTTGTGTGTCGACAGTTGTGGTGTACTGCTGACTGCTTACACAGCTATGCACCGACAGGTGTGGTGTGCTGGTAACATGGCTATGCGCTGTCACCCTCCGACTCGGCCGCACCAGCCCCAGTCTCTTTACTTTTCCGGCGCCGTGAGGAATCACCCTTGGCTTGGGCACGACGATGCTGGCGCTCATCGGAGAGAGTGGAGCTCGCCTCAGCCACAAAGCGATTCTGAGACACGGGGACACACGAAGACACTCCGAGAATCGGGGGACACGTAGACAGTCAATCTTGCTCACAAAGCAACTCTTGAGACACTGGATCACAGGGACACCGAGATAGTCACCCTCACCCACAAAGCGATTCTTGAGACCATGGGACACGGAAACACAGAGACATGGTCACCCACAAAGGACAACCTGAGCCTCGTGGACTTGGAGACAGTAAATATTTCTCACAAAGCAACTTTGAGACACAGGGACATGAGGCATATCATATCATAGCAATATAATTAACGTTCAATGTTCTAAATGGGTAAAATAGAGTGTTCATAGAAATAACGGGATTTTGTTAACCACGCAGATTTACCAGGGCACCCCACCCCTGAATTAGCCTGGTATAAATTTCGACGACACAATGTGGTGTAGTTCTGCCCCTGCCCTATTATGGTTTGTGCCAAGCCCTGACAACCCCCATCCCACCAGTGGTTTGCTCCGCCGAGCCAGCAGCTTCACGTCATCACAGTTGACCGTGGTGCGCTTGCCGTGCCTAGGGACACACGAGTAGAGGAGGATACACACACAGACACGGGGAGACAGGGATACACAGATGCATGGGCAGACATACACGGAGAGACAGAGGGAGGCAGAGGGAGACGCATGGGTAAAGGAGGAAACACAGACAGAAATACAAGGATGCATGTGGAGAGAGATCGGTAGGGGAGGATACACACATACCGACACAGAAAGACACAGAGCGACATGGGAAGACAGGGGCATGCATGGGGAGACACACACACACCATGAACACTCCCAGTGTGATGAAGCATCGGTCCCATTCCTATGCTAGCGACACACGGGGCGAATCGAGCGTGCCACAATCAATTATTTCTGATTTGTATACGTTGTGTGTAATGGGTTCACGTGACCTCTGCAGCCACTGGCAGCCGGTAAATTTAGCACAGTGTTAGAAGGGAATTGATTATTGAATCGAATTCATCAAGCCACGGTGGAGGGGATGAATCACTATTCCTATAAAACACACAGGACATTCACTGTACACAGTATACACCCGTGGTTCTATTTGGTATGGCGGACCACTAATCAACATCACTGCTCCCTGTGGCCCCCTTCCAAGGTTACTGAAACCACAATACAGAGATCACATGTCCACACCTCAAGTCAACTTGGCGTTACAAAGGCATTTGTTTCATGTTGCGTGTTAGTACGTACCGCAGACACACAGCTAATACACAGAAAATAGGACACACTTGGCACACACGTGAAGCACATGCAATAAACACGCAACAGACAGGGTACATACACAGCACACACACAGTACATTATACACACAGTATACGACACAGCATACACAGCTAATACACATGGTGTGCATACACATGGTGTGCATACACATTACATACACTAGGCACGTAACAATGCATCGATCGATTGCAATCGATTCCCACGCTCACCCACATGCAGTGAATCATGCGTGCCAGAATCGATTATGCTAATGATATGTTAATGTGATGGTAACATTGCATTTAGGCTAATGGCAAGAAAACAAAGCTAAAGAAACAGATAACAGAATTAAGCATAACAAATCATTTGGCCATTCTGCGTTGGCAAGTGGTGCACATACACAAACGACAACAAAAACACTCAACACATTAGTCAATAACACGTTTTGCGATTTAAAAAATAATATAATAGGTGACATTTTGGGCAATGGCTCTTCTTCACAGAATAGAGAGGCCAAGTGAGTGTACGTGCATGGGTGCGTGGTGCTGGCCACCTATCCCCTCGTGTGCCATGCCGGCCTTCATAAGTACTCACTAGCAGCACATGCCCCAACAGTCCTGTAAAGCTGTACGGGGGATCTGTCTTTGCCGTGTGTGTCTGTGCGCATCAGCTGTGGCAGAGAGGTATAGCAGGTGCTCTCTCCCTAGAGGGTGCTGCACTCACTTAGCAAAGGCCTCCAGGTCCAGAGCAAAAAGACCTGGGTGAGGAAGAGAGAAGCACGGCATGGGTGATTAGACTGGGTTCGGTGAAGTGTGGATTCACTCACCAGGGCACCATGCACTCGTGTTCAACAACAATAATAATTATTATACTTGTCTACCCAAGAAAGTCTTACTGAGACATTCAGGAGCCTCCTACCAAGTTTTCGCAGGAGGGGGCGATGTTGCTGCTGTGTGTAATCCACATTGAGTAATGTGCAGGTAATTTTTCACCATTGGGGTGTTGTGGCCAAGACCAGTTACATTGTGTTTTTCCTTTAGCTGAACACAATAAACACGATAATTGCATGTATTCATCCAGTAAAGAATCTCCAATTCTCAACACAAACAACACCATTACAACGCGGACTTACATAGCATCTAAATGTGACCACAGCTCAATACGCTGGACATAAACAGTGGTAATTTGATAGAGGTGACCACTCACGGCCTGAGGTCTTGGAATTTGCGTGCATCTCTCCCCGTGGTCGCGTGCATTTTTCTTCAGGTCCTCTGGTTTTTCCCTCCACCTTTATAATCAATGTGCGTTTAGAGTACAGGGACTCCTCTACTTACTAAAGAGTTAGGTTCCAGAGGTCTGTTTCGTCAGTAGATTTGTAAGTCCAAATTTACTCATATCGATTCCAAACATGTTGTACGGCATGTACACTAAACACGGGGAATGGCTTTAAAAGTTGCATAATCTCCTATAGATTCCACTGGTTCTTCATGTTCTGCAGATGTAGATGCCACCGGTTTTTCATGTTCTGCAGATGTAGATGCCACTGGTTCTTTATGTTCTGCAGATGTAGATGCCACTGGTTCTTCATGTTCTGCAGATGTAGATGCCACTGGTTCTTCATGTTCTGCAGATGTAGATGCCATTGGTTCTTCATGTTCTGCAGATGTAGATGCTAATTCCCTTTGGTGTTCGTGTTTCCTCTCAAATCTCTTGACAAACTTACCAAGAGATGTCTGCACAATTGCTCTCTTCTTCTCTTCATAAATCAACATGTAACAGGCATAACTCTTTGGTTTGATTCGTCGTGATTTTTTGTTATTTCATTTTTACCTACGTGACTTTACCGAATAGAACCAAAGAGTATGGATCCTTGCAGTCACGAAAGCTTCAAATCTAGAATTGATAACCTCTACGGGGAGGGCTTTCACATATCTGTTAGAGCTTTCAACAGACAACGGGACAAGAAGTCAAAGCTCATCGAGACGCTGACCTTCCTCAAAAGATGCCGCGACAACAAGGTAATACCCATCGCTTTCACACTCACATCTGCTGCTGTATCCTCACCGAATTCTAAACAGATTCTGTTTAAGGCCAGCCTATCTTTAATCTCAGAGAGGATAAGGCTACTCCGTTTTGAACTCGATACTTTAGACAGGACTCTCCTACAAGCTCATTTAACGCTAACACAAAAAATGTCACCTTCTGATTGGAACCACGTAGACAACATGACTGCTTCTTCTGCCGATTCACTTCCAGTCAAATACAAAGCTAACCTGATTTCTAAATTCAACCACCTATCAAAGAAGAACCCAGTCCCACATATAACAAAACTAGACGTTAACAAAATCGTCATTAATCAGAGTAGCACCCCGATTTCGGACAATCTGAAAACAGTACTGGCTAGAGGGCTAAATTTTGCTGTCACCCCGAAACATATTCCTGTAGATGATATCATCTCTCAGGTCGATGTGGCCCTTAAAGGCATAGGACACATCCAAGCAGACGTTGCGAGAGCTGAAATAGCCACTATTCTTAAGAATGCTAAGAAACCCATTCGCAACATCAGCAAAAATGAACGCTCTGAACTCGCGAATTTAAAAAACAGAAGTGATATAGTCATCCTCTCAGCCGACAAAGGCAACGCTACTGTAATTATGGATAAAGATTCGTACAACAACAAAATCCAGAACCTACTCAACGATGGAAGTTACTCAAAAATTAAAAATGACCCTACTAATAGCCTAACTATAAGAACTAACAAGATCATTACAAGTTCGACCTCCCTAATCGAACCAACTAAACGTCTCTCCTTAAAACCTTCTGCTGCAAGACCCCCTAGATTCTATGGTCTCCCCAAGATTCATAAAGGCACTCCACTACGACCCATCGTATCCACGATCAACTCCCCTACCTATAAGCTAGCACGTTTTCTGTCAGATACCTTGCTACCTTTCACTGGCAAGACCTCCTCAGCAGTACTTAACTCAGCTCATTTGGTCTCTATGGTCAAAGACGTTGTACTGTCCCCTGACGATATCCTTGTCAGCTTCGATGTGGTCTCCCTGTTCACCAAGGTTCCGGTACCTGACACCATTGAAATCATTGAAAATTTGGTACAACATGGACTAGGCCCCGATACACCTGCGCTGATTAGACACTGCCTCACCAATACCTACTTTACTTGGAATGGCACCTTCTACAAACAAAATGAGGGTACCCCCATGGGTTCTCCCTTATCACCAGTGACAGCCAATGTTTTCATGGAGAAATTTGAATCAGACGCCATCCAGACTTCCACCCTCAGACCTTCCCTGTGGAAGAGATATGTGGATGACACTTTCGTCATTTGGCCACATGGCCTCCCAGCTTTGAACCTTTTCCTACACCACATCAATTCTAGACATCCCGCCATCAAATTCACCATGGAAGTGGAGAAAAATGGCAAGCTACTATTCTTGGATGTTCTGTTTGAGAGGAGACCTGATGGCTCACTGGGGCATTCTGTCCACAGGAAACCCACCCACACAGATTCCTACTTGAAACCTGAATCTCACCACCACCCAGCTCAAAAGAATGATCTCATTATAACGTTATACCACAGGGCACATTGCATTTCGGACCAACACCACCTGACCAGTGAATTAAAACATGTACACCTGGCCCTCAAGAGAAACGGATACTCTGACCGTACCATCCGCGAAGCTGTTTCTACCTCCATACAGAAACAACCACTTGATACTCCGGTCAAAACCATCACACTACCATATATAGCAGGCGTTACTAAAAAGATCTCCAAAATTCTAAACAAACACAAGATCCTGGTCCGGTTCAATACAGTACACAAAATCCGTGACCTGATCCCATCCGTGAAGGATGTCGTTCCTGACTTACAGTACCCCGGGGTTTACAAATTGAGTTGTACCTGCGGTGACTGCTATATCGGGGAGACGAAACGACATGTCTCTGACCGAATTCGCGAGCACAAATCAGATTTGAAACACGGCAGAACGAATTCTTCTGCCGTAGCTGATCACTGTTACAACGCTGTGGGTGATCACGATATAGTTTTCTCCGATACCAAGGTTCTCTGCAAACCCACGAGTGTTTATCAGAGATTTGTCCAAGAGGCAATTCAGATTTACAAACACAGACAATTTCAACCGAGAGGATGGTTTCAAATTAAGCAATCATTGGAAAGATGTTCTAAATCAGACCAAACATTAAACTAATTTTCAATGGTACAGTATATTTATTCAAGTAGTGGTATTCCAAACTTTCACAGCAGCCTATTTCCCTTCACACCAACATTATGTAAACTCCCCCCCCCCCCCCACCATGCCGGTCCAGTACATATTCTTATGCTAATTCCTTTGTCAAGGCGTTTTTTTTGTTTCCTCCCACACAGCTTAAAGGACGCGACCTGGGCTTGCTGTCTTCACTCCAACGCTGTCCTCTGAACAGTCCAATCCCTTCACCTGATGAAGGCCACTTGTGTTGTGGCCGAAACGTCGTGATTTTTTGTTATTTTATTTTTACCTACGTGACTTTACCGAATAGAACCAAAGAGTATGGATCCTTGCAGTCACGAAAGCTTCAAATCTAGAATTGTAACAGGCAATAGTATCATGTTCGTGAAAAGCACAGAAAGCCATATCGAACCACACAGCGACAACACAACAGACAATGGTGGCAGCCCAGGCATAAATACTGGAAATGCTGGGTAATGACACCAAATAACCACCACCACCATCTATTGCGTGGCAGTAGAACTTATGACTCTCGGTCCGAACAGGCAACTGGACATACGGACAGGTTTATTCGTATCTCTGAAAGTTTGTAAGTCGAATGTTCATAAGCAGAGGAGTCCCTGTATTTGGCTGCTATTAATTTCCACGTGATAAGCCAAATTTCGTTAATCTATCATTTGTGGCCAGGTCGCTTCTAAAAAAAGAGCAATATAATTCAGTCTGTCTTACCTGGTAAAATAAAAATAGTTTAGTTTGGAACTTGAACCTAGACACAAGGGCATGGAGTTGACAGCACAGATGGCTAATCAGACCCGAATGTTTAGCTTAATTTACTGGAGCGCCCGGAGAAACCCCACCACACACACGAGGCGTTTGATACTCAGAAAACCACAAAGTGCAGTTCACAATCCTACTTGGTGTACTGCAATCCCCTGATCAGACCGCTGGATGACAAATTGTTATCTGAACCACCGGGTGTCATTACTCGGGTCACTATGGCTCAAGTAAACTTTTTTCAGGAGCGGTGTTACCTGCACCATTTTGAATCATTATGGGAAACAGCCCTCGCTGAACGAAAGATTTTCCAGATGGATAATCAGCGGCACAAGCATGTCCAAGCATGATTTTAGAATGGATGTGTGGATGTCGTCGAGCGGCGATGTCTTATTTTGGCAGCCATGTGATAAACATCAACACCTCTGCCACTGATGTTGGCACCAGGGTCTCGAGTTTCACATTGGTTTCAGGTTGATCAAACTCAGATGGCAGACCGGCAGAATGTATTGCCTTCAAGTTGGAAACTGCCATCTTGATCGTCACTATTTTATTGGGAAAGAACGTCGCAAGTACTGTGCACAGACTGGATTGACTAGTTGATGGACGGTTGGAGTCCAGCAGACCATTCGCAACAGCACCAGAGCACGAGAGTTGTGAGCGGACTCATTGACGCGCAGAGCATAGAACAATCTGTGAGACTCATTAATGAGTCAGTTAGCACATCTGCAGGCAGCTCTGTAAACGAGTCGGACAGTCTCGAAACCAGTTTTCTTTTAAAGAGAGTGACAGCCAGTTACTGCACACTTTCCCCATTCTCTTTGTGCTTGTTTGGATGGGCATTAATTCATCGAGAACAGCAGTGATGTCATTTTCTTATTGAGTTGCAAATTAATAGACCGTGGATGCAAGATTTAGACATGCAAATGATGACCTGATCTTCTGACAGAAAGCATCGTGGTCCAATCTTTTTCAGTCTCTGTATATTGTTGCGATGACAAAGGGAATAATCGGTAATACCACTTTGTGCGTCACGAGACTGTGATCCGAAATACATCTTCAATTAAATTGGTCACAGTTATGACATCGGCAGATGTGAAGATGTGATCCAGTATATTTCACGAGCGACATGTCGCACCGCTGACGTTTGACCATCGATAATTGCGGCGAGATCACTGTGAATTTTACCATAAGAGGCAGTTAATCTGGGACAGTTCAGGTCACCACAGATGATGTAATGAGAGCCAAGTGACCCACAATGTAGCAGAACGGAAAGCTCCGAAAATAATTCCAAGAGCGGTGAAGGTGGCAGTTGGTAGATGACAGCGATTGTAAGCCCCCCACATGCTGTTCATTAATTTCACAAGCAGCAACTCGAATTACGTAATTGTTCAGGAGTCGCTCAGGACTTTCATGAAGATGTCTTCATGGTGAATCAGTGCGATCCCACTACTGTGCGGGCTGCCGGTGCCAGGCTTCCCGCGACGGTGCTGATGTACAATTGCGTATCCGTTAGGTGCAGCCCCATGCTTAATTACATCTGGGGAGCCATCATATACCCAGGTTTCGGTAATGGCCAAAATGTCGAGTCCACAATTGAACCATTTGGCAGGACCCTGGGGTCCCGCAAAAATCAGGTCAACAATTATTATTTTTCAGTCCGCCCACTCGTGATCCTGCAAGGACACCGGACGGACCCCGCCAGGGCTGCTGCTCATTCTTGCGCGCGGCCCCTGTTCAGCAATGGCGTCCGAGAAACGCCACCTCATTGAACACGAGGAAGAGCTCAACGCCGAGATGCACAAGCTCGTCAGGTGGACGCCAACGGGTGCAGGTGCATCACCGCGCTCCTCGGCGATCTCTTCGGCCCCAGCGTCACGATGATCCACCAAGCCGCGCACAAAAAGCTTCCCGTCGTGCTGCAGATGGTGCCTTTTGGCACCATCACCACGAAGAAGCTCAAGTCGCTCTCCCAAGAAGTACTTTTCGATCCCCGCCGATTGCCTCGACTACTGTCCAGCCATCCCGCCCCATCTCGTCGCCGAGTTGGACAACGACACCAACGCGCCGCCCGCCCAGACTTGCGCCAACAAGCGCCAGCAGGCGGCGATCAACACGATGGGCGCCACCCCACCGGCCAAACGCAAGCCCCGGGGGGCGTCCGCCGCGGTCGCGCGCGGCGACAACGCCCTCCGGTCAGCCGTCGATCCTCAGCTTCTTTGCCAAGGCGAGCCCGCCCCCACGGTGAATTTAACGTTTATGTAATTTTTAACTTTTTACGAAACTTAGTGCCCCGAGTAGCTCTCGACGAGGCCAATCGATTGACACTAGTCTTGTTGTCGATAAGGCAAGACTCGTGTCGCTACGCGGTTTTTCCCACCCCGGGGCAGTGATGGGACCCCGGGGTCCCGCCAATTGCTTCAATTGTTGATCAGATCCTGGATTAGCACCGTCTTTTTGACTCTGGAGTGTGCGTTGGCCAATCCAAAGTTGAGGAGCTCTGGTCCAGAGTTTGGCTCGATACCCGGCATCAGCAGCAGTATGGCCAGGAAGGCGATCTTCTGTGACCGTGTGGATGTAGGGCGGAAGGAGAACGGACCAAATCTACAGCACAACCATGTGTGGGGGATTCCAACAAGTGACACACGGTCTGGTAGGGGTCAGCATTTCCACAGCAGATCGTAGCACAGTGGATGTGGAACGAGTAGTTTGAACCGGAAAGTCAGCCAATCAGCATTCCCTTCTGCACGTTGGATGCTGGGCCGAGTATGCTGTTGAGTCCAACCAGTGTCGGCGACGTTTGGGTGAGACAGAATTGGTTTGTCGATCCAAGCCAAGAGAAGTTTCCCGGTATGACCCCCCCCCACCCATTCTCCAGGGAAGAGGGGAGGCATTGCCACTCAGCTCACTCAGCCAGAGTTCCGCGAGAGTACAGTCCGGCCGCAAGCAGCCGGGCAGCAGCAGAGGTCGCAGTGTCACCATAGCAAGGTGTTGTTGATGTTGTTACTATTGTTGCTGCTGTTATGATGGTTGTTCCTGCTGTTCTTGTTGCTTCTGCGTTTCCTATGCACCAAGGTCATGTGAATTACCCATGAACAATGACAAACACATAAACACACACAAAGGCATAAAAACCCACCTACCCACACATATATTCACAGACACAAATGCCATGGGGTGATATTCTGGGACAATCAAACAGGAGAAGTGATGGTCTCTCATCAGAAACCATCAACGCGGCATAGCATGCTGCATGTGCTCTCTGTGTTATGATGTTGTGTGTGTGACATCTCTGTGTGCTGGGGCCGGCCTCACGCACTGCACTGGTGGAAGGTGGTCTCAGCGATGGCGGCCACCACCTGGCGGTTGAAGCTGAGGCCGGCGTTTTCCCCCTCCTCCTCCAGCACGCGTTCCACCGTGTAGTGCACGGCGGCACGCAGACGCTGGCACCAGGAGAGAGTCGGAGAAGAGACTCTCAAAGCTCACACACATAGCCCACACAGGCACTTAACCTATACATACATTGTGTAGATCATACAAAGATCCCCTGTATAGCCTTAACAGACTGTTGGGGCAGAGCAAATTCCAAAACTACCACTTCTGGCAGAATCTGGCCAACATCCTCGCTGTACGCACATGCACACACATGCATGCATGTTTGTGCATGTTTGTGCACGTGTGTGCACGTGTGCATGTGTGCATACAAAACACGATACCCCCCTGTAGCCTTAACAGACTGTTGGGGCAAGTGCTGTTAGCAAGCATCTAGGAAGGCCGGCACTTCACACCAGGGGGTGGGTGGCCAGCACCACGGACAGCCGCATGTCTCCCGCACCAGGTACTCATTTGAGGCTGAGTCGACTTAGGTGAGGCCTAGGACCGGTTCAGATAATTGTTGGCCGTGAGTGGGAATCGAACTCAGGTCTCGGGGTTTATAGTCCATTGCGCTAACCACTGTACTACCACTCCCCTACACGCACAGGCACATACACACACACAACCAAACACACACATAGTTCACACTCACAACCCATACAGATACATAGTCCAGACATACATACATGCTCTAGCCAGGTTGTACACACGTGTGGCTGATGGGATGTGTTAAAACAAATGTTTCTGTTTTAAAGTTGAGGAACAGACATGGTGTGGTGAACTCGTAACTAATTGGCATGTTTTGTCTACATGACAAACCTTACTAAATGGCTGTGTCGGGTGGTGGTAAATATAAATGTGTCGGGTTTAACGACATTCATATTTACGCGATCTAACCCAAAACTCTATCATGGATACTATTGGTCGCGAAAGCCTATGTGTTAAACTAAAGGATGCGAATCGTCTGCTTAATTTGTTCGCAGATTGAATCCGATCGTTGCTGCCTCAATGACTCTCAAGACTCTTTTGCAGGAGAGTCCTGCCAAATTTTTGCAAGAGGTGGCAATTAGGCCTCGGTAAAAACAACAAGCCTACCTTTATCCTACCTTTTACCTTACCACAATACAATCACTCTACATTAACTTTTACCCTTTAGAAAGGTAAGGTAAAAAGCAACGAGCTTACCTTTACCCTACCTTTTACCCTTACCCCATACAAATTACCCGATTACAGGGTAATTACTGGGGTACTACACATGAAAAAGGTTTATAACAGGTAAATGCTCGGTAGAGCGCTTTATTCATATAGAATACTCTCGATGATTCCAATTTTAAATGGAGGCCACGGACTGCGCCACGGAGCTTTTAGCGAGCGGTAAACAAGGTATTTACCGGGTAATACTTCGAGCTACCTTTACCCTACCGGGTAATCATTCTGCGCTACCTTTAGCTTTCCCTTACCCCTTGACATGTCGACACCTTTACCCTTTACCTTGACCCTTTTACCCGGTAAAAAGGGTAACTTACCTTACCTTGCCGAGGCCTAGGTGGCAATGTTGCTGATCTGTGCGATCCCAAATGAGTAATTTTCAAGAAATGTTTCAGCATTGGGGATGTTTGGCCAATATCAGTTGCATTGTGCAGTATTCCCCCGTCATTCAGGAACTTGCTATCCACGAATCGCATCTAGAACTCTACACGACTGCATCGAGAGACAGAAAGTGACGAGATATATTATGAGACCTCCTTTGCCAGAAACAAGATATAGGAATAGGTTTTACCCTTTTAACTGGCACAAAAACTGACACCTTTATTCAAGGCATCATGTTTGCAATGACCACAACACAAGCAGTCAAAATGCAAACAAAAAAGACAACTCTGATAATAATATGCACCGTCCTTGAATTTGATTGGTCCACACCCGAGACAACTTTTCTTAGAGCCTAGTCTCCACGCCTTTTGGCGTCTTCTGGTCCAACACCAATGGAGACTAGGCTCTAAGAAAAGCTGTCTCGGGTGTGGACCAATCAAATTCAAGGACAGTGCATATTATTATCAGAGTTGTCTTTTTTGTTTGCATTTTGACTGCTTGTGTTGTGGTCATTGCAAACATGATGCCTTGAATAAAGGTGTCAGTTTTTGTGCCAGTTAAAAGGGTAAAACCTATTCCTATGACGAGAGATAGTGATGAGGAATAAAGTGAAGAGAGATAAAGTGATGATTGATAAAGTTATGAGATAAAGATGAGAGAAGAAACTTCTCGAAGCTTTAGAAGCATCTGCAGATGGTGTGTGTACGATATCCGTAGGTGTTCGTGCTATTCACGAACATCTCCGGAATGTATCACTGGCGAATAACGAGGTGAACACTATTAATCCAGCATCCAAAAGTTGTATACTGCAATTTCCTTAACACGCAACGTGATGTGTTCTCTACTCCCATGTGCTCCTCTTCCTGCCTCTCTGTTATTTCCAAGCACGGATGTCACGTTTCTTTATGCATTTTCAAGCTTCTATTCAATAGCTTATAGTGGAAAGGAGCTGCTGAGCGCACTGAGATTTAAGAAGGTGGATTAATGGTCTGAGCCCGAAATGTTCTTGTCAAGTGCCCCCACAATTCAAGCCTGTCAATGACGAGTAAACCCATCACAAGGAAGATACAAATTCAGGCTGGAAACGAATGGCTTTAATACTGCCACAAAGTTGTGCATTGCACGTACAAAAGCTTTCACTCGTCCGTATCCAGACAATCAACTCAAGAGAACTGAATGTGTGATCGCCATCGTCAGACCAACAACTTAAGAGTTTAGAAAACGTTTGGCCACACATTCGTTTTTTTTAGCTGGCGATCTGAATAAGGCTGAGAAAGTAAGTATATTTATAAACGCGCAAATCTTATAACCCAAGTTATCAGGAGTGCGCATTAGAGTGTTTGTACAGTCGGTGCTGCATATTGTCGTGTCCTTGTCTACGTTTGTGATCTCAACGTTGTAACAATCACTTTGAAACATTTTACGAATAACATTACAACTGCAATAATGTGTCTGAGTCCATCAGCCTTCTTTGCTTTCAGACCAAAATTATCCGTCAGGAGCAAGCATTTATTATTGAAGCAAGCAAACTCTGGATCCAGTTTCAACATTCTGGGTCTCATCAGCAGCTCACTCTAAATCGAGTTCTCACCGGGTGAGTAACTAAACCGAGTTCTCCTCACCAGGTGAGTAACTAAATTGACTTCTCCTCACCGGGTGAGTAACTAAATCGACCTCTCCTCACCGGGTGAGTAACTAAATCGAGTTCTCCTCACCGGGTGAGTAACTAAATCGACCTCTCCTCAGCGGGTGAGTAACTAAATCGAGTTCTCCTCACCGGGTGAGTAACTAAATCGACTTCTCCTCACCGGGTGAGTAACTAAATCGAGTTCTGCTCACCAGGTGAGTAACTACATCGACTTCTCCTCACCGGGTGAGTAACTAAATCGAGTTCTGCTCACCGGGTGATTAACTAAATCGAGTTCTCCTCACCGGGTGAGTAACTAAATCGACTTCTCCTCACCGGGTGAGTAACTAAATCGACTTCTCCTCACCGGGTGAGTAACTAAATCGACTTCTCCTCACCGGGTGGGTAACTAAATCGAGTTCTCCTCACCGGGTGAGTAACTAAATCAACTTCTCACCGGGTGAGTAACTAAATCAACTTCTCACCGGGTGAGTAACTAAATCGAGTTCTCCTCACCGGGTGAGTAACTAAATCGACTTCTCCTCACCGGGTGAGTAACTAAATCGACTTCTCCTCACCGGGTGAGTAACTAAATCGAGTTCTCCTCACCGGGTGAGTAACTAAATCGAGTTTTCCTCACCGGGTGAGTAACTAAATCGAGTTCTCCTCACCGGGTGAGTAACTAAATCGACTTCTCCTCCCCGGGTGAGTAACTAAATCGAGTTCTCCTCACCGGGTGAGTAACTAAATCGAGTTTTCCTCACCGGGTGGGTAACTAAATCGAGTTCTGCTCACCGGGTGAGTAACTAAATCGACTTCTCCTCACCGGGTGAGTAACTTAACCGAGTTCTCCTCACCGGGTGAGTAACTAAATCGACTTCTCCTCACCGGGTGAGTAACTAAATCGAGCTCTCCTCACTGGGTGAGTAACTAAATCGACTTCTCCTCACCGGGTGAGTAACTAAATCGAGTTCTCCTCACCGGGTAACTAAATCGACTTCTCCTCACCGGGTGAGTAACTAAATCGACTTCTCCTCACCGGGTGAGTAACTAAATCGACTTCTCCTCACCGGGTGAGTAACTAAACCGAGTTCTCCTCACCGGGTGAGTAACTAAATCGACTTCTCTTCACCGGGTGAGTAACTAAATCGACTTCTCACCGGGTAACTAAACCGAGTTCTCCTCACCGGGTGAGTAACTAAATCGAGTTCTCCTCACCGGGTGAGTAACTAAATCGAGTTCTCCTCAACCGGGTGAGTAACTAAATCGACTTCTCCTCACCGGGTGAGTAACTAAACCGAGCTCTCCTCACCGGGTGAGTAACTAAATCAACTTCTCCTCACCGGGTGAGTAACTAAATCGAGTTCTCCTCACCGGGTGAGTAACTAAACCGAGTTCTCCTCACCAGGTGAGTAACTAAATTGACTTCTCCTCACCGGGTGAGTAACTAAACCGAGTTCTCCTCACCGGGTGAGTAACTAAACCGAGTTCTCCTCACCAGGTGAGTAACTAAATCGACTTCTCCTCACCGGGTGAGTAACTAAACCGAGTTCTCCTCACCGGGTGAGTAACTAAATCGACTTCTCCTCACCGGGGAGTAACTAAATCGACTTCTCACCGGGTGAGTAACTAAATCGAGTTCTCCTCACCGGGTGAGTAACTAAATCAAGTTCTCCTCACCGGGTGAGTAACTAAATCGAGTTCTCCTCACCGGGTGAGTAACTAAATCGAGTTCTCCATATTTAATTGTGATATCTATTTTCTTGGTTCTTTCGGTAAAGTCACGTAAGAACCAAGAAGATGAATCCCTGCAGTCACGAAAGCTTTAAATCGTGATATCTATTATTTAGATTGGTTATGCGGTGTGATTGATTAATGAACGCTTTCCTACGGTCAATCTTAATTGCAACACAAAGTTTTAATACATTTTGTCAACAGCATTGTGCGTGCGAGACCTTAAAAGGTAAGAGGCGACGTTTCGGCCAATGAAGCTTTCTTTATAGCACTTTTTTTACGTTGACGATATATGACGTAAATACTCCGCTGTACGCCATGGTAGGTAATAATGTGTACAGTAGTGATTGCAAAAACATACTTTCCGCTTTACATACAGTGGTATGTTGTAAATCGTAAAAAAAACGATGCCAAGATGTGTACAGAAAGTTCTGTCAGAGGGACACAACAGAGTTTGTTGTGTACCCAGGGGGGACGTTTAACTTAGGCGGTCCGTGGTAACAAAAACTAAATAATGAAAGATGTGTACGACAGCGAGCTGTTGGAGAAGTGTGAGTTGGAGGGGGGATGTTTTTCTCTTCTTCAGTTCCACTCCCACCTCAGAGAACTGCACCTCACCTGCTCCAGCTCCATCCGCGACTCGTCGCCCTCGGCCGCCATCGTCTTTCCCGCCAAAAAAACAAACCTCCCCTCCCCCCCGGAAGCCACCCCCATTATCCCTCCCACCCCCCGGAAGCCACCCCCATCCTCCCCCGGAAGCCACCCCACCCACGCGTTGCTCCGGTGGCGGCCATCTTGGGTAGGGACGGGTCCAATGGGCTAAGCGGATTGCGTAGTGCGCCCTCCATGTTGGGAAGGGGCGAAGTTTTTTTTAGGACTTCGACAATAATCGATTAACCATAACAAAGAGGGCGTTTTTATTTGTTTTGGGTTGCATCGCGTAAATATGTGTCGTTAAACCGCCGCCGCCCGACGCAGAGAATTAGTTAAATGTTTATCACGTCAACAAAACCTGCCAATTACATACCTGTCAACCCCTCATCAGTGCCCAAACTTAGTCCAGACCCATTCAGACCTTATTGGTCATCCTGTGCCCTTATAAATCTCAACGTTTATCCTACAAAGTCCCATCACAATGGAGAAACACAAAACTTTTTTTTACTACATTTCCCTGCACAAGAATACGGGTGAACCGTATGGGTTGACAGGTATTCTATATATTTGATTTAAATCTTTCTTGACTGCAGGGATTCATATTCTTGGTTCTTTCGGTAAAGTCACGTAGAAGGGAAACAAAATAATAAAAATATAAAACAATATTGTTTATTGTTTCCCTTCTACGTGACTTTACCGAAAGAACCAAGAATAGGTATTCTATAATTATAACAATGCTTACCGTACCTGTTTCGTTTACGTGTCGATTGAACTCGATTATTTACGATTTTGTTGTGTTATTTCCTAATAAACATTACCTGTGGCCACTCTCTTTAACTCTACGTACATATGTACTACTATGTGTAGGTGTACGGTGCTTTTTCAGGAAGATTTTGCTGTTTTTTCCTGGATTTTTCTGTTTGCGCATAGTCACTTTAAGATATTATCTTGTTCACGTTTTTGTTTTTGTGTTTGTTGCGGTTGCACCCGATTCAAGAGCTGAATGACTCACAGGGATATACCAAATACATAAAAATGAAATGTGTAATGCGCGTGACGTCACTCCACGGGCCCGTTGCATCTCCGACTAGCACCACCTAGCCAGTGAGGTTTAGCACGTACCCCAAGCCCTCAGGATGAATGGATATTCTGACCGTACAATCCGCAAAGCTGTCCCCCAGCTATGGGGAGATAACCATCTGAGGATCCAATCAAAACCATCATTTTGCCATGTATAGCCGGGGTTACCAAAAATATTTCCAAAATCTTAAACAAATACAGCATCCAGGTTCGTTTCAACACAGTACACAAAATCCGTGATTTGGTCCCATCTGCAAAGGATGTGATTTCTGACATGCAATATCCTGTCTACAAATTAAGTTGTGGCTGCGGTAGCAGTTACATTGGGGAAACAAAACATGTCTCGGACAATGTTCGCAAGCACAAGGCAGATCTGAAAAACGGTATAGGACCAATACCTCTGCCGTTGCTGATCATTGTTTTAACGCTGTGGGCTCACACGAAATAGATTTTTCCAAGACGAAGGTACTCTGCAAACCCACCGGCTATCATCAGAGATTTGTTCATGAAGCCATCCAGATATATAAACACAGACACAACTTCAACCGAGATGGGTACAAACTGAGCAATCATTGGAAGGACGTTATTAACCAAGTCTTAACTGACTGTGATGTCTCCATCCTACCTGCATATTGTCAGCTGTTATTTCCGACTCTCTGTCTCTCTTTGTGTCTCCCTCTCATCATGTGTACCTCTTACTCTTAGGGGTTTTTTTGTTCCTGTTGCCCGGCTCTCTGACATTGACACGCTAATCTTCTCATTGGCAAGTCCTCCGGCGGCAGGGCCATCTCACATTGACATGCTAATCTCTCACATTTACAGTTTCAAATCCAGATTTACGTGCAAATTCCTACTCTAGCTCCGCCCACTCACCCTTGGGTTGGGCCCACCAAAAACCCTATATAAACTCTTGTTGCAGCAGCTCTTTCTCCGACGTCAGCAGTCCTCCTGCTGTGTTTGTTTCACACCTGATGACGGTTGCTTGTGTCGCGATCGAAGCGTCGTGATCTATTATATTTCTTTACCCACGTGACTTTACTGAAAGAACCAAAGAGTGTGGATTCCTGCAGTCACGAAAGCTTCAAATCAAGAATAAAACAGGTGTTAAGATGTGAAACCACCAAATAGAATCCTTTGTTCAAGGAATCACGTCTGCATTAACCACACGTACTTGTGGTGAACATGCCTAGTGTCCTCCTTCCTCGCGGCGTGTGTGTGCGTGTGGTGTGTGCGTGTGGTGTGCGGCGCACACACTCAGTCGGAGACGACGAAGTTGCAGGAAGCACCGTCTCTCTTTATTGTCTCGTTCACACCACCAACTCCGGCCTCCTCTCTCACGACCACGCTGCCGTGCAGCCCGGCCCGGACACGACCCTGACCGCGTTGCACCGACGGCGTCAACCGAGACGGCCAACTACTGTCCGGCCGCGCAATGATCGGGCGAAGGCGGCAGCGACGACGAGACGAGTCCACTCCCAGAACCGGCTGACCGGAGCGCTCTCTCCGGTGCTTATATTTAATTGTTTTATACAAAGCAATTTAATTTAATTGTTGGATATAAAACAATTAAATTTCGATTTAAAGCTTTCGTGACTGCAAGGATTCATCGTCTTTCGTTCTTTCGGTAAAGTCATTCTACGTGACTTTACCGAAAGAACCAAAGAAGAACAATTAAAATTTGTTTTTATTATTTTGTTTCCCTTCTACGTGACTTTACCGAAAGAACCAAGAATATGAATCCCTGCAGTCACGAAAGCTTTAAATCAAAATTTGCTTACATTCCCCTCGGCGCGGCTTGGCTCCGCCCTAGCCGCGCCTCCCTTCTCGAACCCTCCAGAGGGCTCCAGGGGACTCCCCACGAGGTCTACCGTGACCCTTGCCCCAGTTCCTCTGCCCTGCCGGCACACACACGCACCGTGTATATGCTCAGCGGCGTGTGCGCTAAGTGTCCACCGCAGTTGCTGCTGCTGCTGTACAGCAGTCGGCGCTGTGTCACTACACGTGCAAACAAAAACATGCTCCGATAATATATGTATCGTCTTGGAAGCTGATTGGTCCACACCAGAGGCAGCTTTCATTTTGAGCCTCGTCTCAAAGTGCTAGACCAGAGAACTATCTGCGACCATCCCCTCCGTCATTAGCGCCGATATTCGAGAGTCTACTGTAGTTGTATTGTTGTTCGACAAACTGGCATGAATTCGATATGAACACACGCGTTATACTTAGTTGTAAATATTGATTAGTGCTCTGTTTCAAGAGAAACCCCATTTTATGATATACTGAAATGACACGTCAGCCCATACGGAAAAACAAATTCTGCACTCTCTCCACAACTGCTCCATCACCAATGGGGAGTGAGTTAAGGGGGTGGAGTATTTGATGGCACAAACTCCCCAGGCAGGTGCTTAGCTTTTGGTTGGGCTGATGGGAAGACGCACCCTCTAACGTGCCGAGTTCCGCTTGAGCTCACGTTCCTATTTCACCAACCCCCCCTACCCAACATGTCCCCCTTAAACCTACGTTCCTAATTCACCTACCCAACATGTCCGCCTTAACCCCACGTTCCTATTTCACCATCCCCCTACCCAACATGTCCGCCTTTCTTAACCCCACCTTCCCATTTAACCACCCCCCCCCTACCCAACATGTCCACTGCGGGGCCGACGTCATTTCCCTCGTCCGCACCACTTCCGCTACTGTGCATCACGAGCACGTGATGCGCCAGGCGGTGTCAACAACGATGATGGGAGGCATGGAGGCTCCGCTGCCGATGCGCTCTCTCGTGCTGCTGCTGCTGCCGTCGCTCCTCTCGGCGGTGTCGGCGCAGACCCCGGGCTGCGCGCTCACCATGAAATCCGGGAAGCCGTCCGAACGCGAGGCTCTGCTGCTCGCCCGGCTGGAGCCCCTGCGCGGCACAACGTGAGTGGAATTCCCAGCGCGGATGCGCGGCCCCCTGTGGACTCGCACCCCCCCTCCCCTCCCCCACCCCGTTCACAGACGCGCGCTCCCATTGGACGAGCGGCACGAAGCCTGCGTGTAACGGCGCTCGCCGTTGGACGACGCGGCCGGCACGAGACGCGTTCGCCCTTATCCGCGCTGGGAAATGTAAAAGCGGGGCCTTGAGGGAGAGGGGGGTGGCGGCGGATACTTGGGGGGTAAAGGGGGGCTCTTGTAGAGCCCCCCTTTGGTTCCTGTGGACTCTGGAGACTCGGGGGATCTTGGGGGGGTACTCGGGATCATGGGGACTCGCAGTGAAAACTAAAAACAACCTTTTACTATTGCCAGGTAAGGCCCACCGAGACTGATACTTCTGTTTCAGAAGGGACCTGGACACAAATGATAGCGCAACGAAGACGCCTTATCACGTGGAAATGTTTCTAAAAGTAGAGGGGAAAGCCGGAGGCCCTGGAGAACAATCCACCCGACTACGGGGAGAGAGAGAGAGACACAGCGCAAACTCCAAATATACAGCATCAGCAGGAGGCGTGATGGTCGGGATGGAACCCACACAAGGCGAGGTAGTTAACATCTCATAGCCACCGTGGCGACCCTGTGATGCATAGTCCGCCAAAAACGGATGAGCTATAAAGCTCTCTTTCACAGATGTCGTCCAGTGTTGACTCAGGGGATCACGGTTCCCGGAGAGCAATGCGGACTTGAGAGATTCCCGGGGACTAGTCGTCACCGGGACTCAGGGGTTCCCGTATGAACCCGTGGTTCATTGAGACTTGGAGCTCGAGGGTGGTGGTTCTTGGGTACTCGATGTGGATTAGAGTAAGCCGACCGGGGCCCCTAATTCGGAGCGGAACGACTGCGTCACCCCCCCCTCCTTCCCGCGTGGGGCTGCTGAGTTAGATAATGGGCTTCGCCGCTTGCTCCTGAATGTTCTCGCTGAGTTACCGAGATCCACGAGGTTTCTGCCTCTGCCCAGGGCGGTTCGTCTCCCTACTTTGAGGCCACACTTCCTCATCATTGACGCGCGGTCACGTGTCCCCCCCACACCCCCATTGCCAGCGGTCGAGTGTGGTGGTTGGGGGTTGGGCTGTGGTATGGTTGGCAAGTGTGGCTTAGGTCTCGTGTCTGACTTGTGTGGTTAGTGGTAGGTCTCGTGTCTGACTTGTGTGGTCAGTGGTAGGTCTCGTGTCTGACTGGCTAGTGTGGCTTAGGTCTCGTGTCTGACTTGTGTGGTTAGTGGTAGGTCTCGTGTCTGACTTGTGTGGTCAGTGGTAGGTCTCGTGTCTGACTGGCTAGTGTGGCTTAGGTCTCGTGTCTGACTTGTGTGGTCAGTGGTAGGTCTCGTGTCTGACTTGTGTGGTCAGTGGTGGGTCTCGTGTCTGACTTGTGTGGTTAGTGGTAGGTCTCGTGTCTGACTGGCTGGTGTGGTTAGTGGTAGGTCTCGTGTCTGTCTGGCTAGTGTGGTTAGTGGTAGGTCTCGTGTCTGACTGGCTAGTGTGGTTAATGTTAGGTCTCGTGTCTGACTGGCTAGAGTGGTTAGTGGTAGGTCTCGTGTCTGACTGGCTAGTGTGGTTAGTGGTAGGTCTCGTGTCTGACTTGTGTGGTTAGTGGTAGGTCTCGTGTCTGACTGGCTGGTGTGGTCAGTGGTAGGGCTCGTGTCTGACTTGTGTGGTTAGTGGTAGGTCTCGTGTCTGACTGGCTAGAGTGGTTAGTGGTAGGTCTCGTGTCTGACTGGCTAGTGTGGTTAGTGGTAGGACTCGTGTCTGACTGGCTAGTGTGGTTAGTGGTAGGTCACGTGTCTGACTGGCTAGTGTGGTCAGTGGTAGGTCTCGTGTCTGACTTGTGTGGTTAGTGGTAGGTCTCGTGTCTGACTGGCTAGTGTGGTTAGTGGTAGGTCTCGTGTCTGACTGGATAGTGTGGTCAGTGGTAGGTCTCGTGTCTGACTTGTGTGGTTAGTGGTAGGTCTCGTGTCTGACTGGCTAGTGTGGTTAGTGGTAGGTCTCGTGTCTGACTGGCTACTGTGGCCAGTGGTAGGGCTCGTGTCTGACTGGCTAGTGTGGTTTAGGTCTCGTGTCTGACTGGCTAGTGTGGTTAGTGGTAGGTCTGGTGTCTGACTGGCTAGTGTGGTCAGTGGTAGGTCTCGTGTCTGACTTGTGTGGTTAGTGGTAGATCTCGTGTCTGACTGGCTAATGTGGTTTAGTGGTATGTCTCGTGTCTGACTGGCTACTGTGGTTAGTGGTAGGGCTCGTGTCTGACTGGCTAGTGTGGTCAGTGGTAGGGCGGGTATCTGACTGGCTAGTGTGGTTAGTGGTAGGTCTCGTGTCTGACTGGCTAGTGTGGTTAGTGGTGGGCACGTGTCTGTCTGGCTAGTGTGGTCAGTGGTAGGTCTCGTGTCTGACTGGCTAGAGTGGTGAGTGGCAGGTCTCGTGTCTGACTGGCTAGTGTGGTTAGTGGTAGGGCTCGTGTCTGACTGGCTAGAGTGGTGAGTGGCAGGTCTCGTGTCTGACTGGCTAGTGTGGTCAGTGGTAGGGCTCGTGTCTGACTGGCTAGTGTGGTTAGTAGTAGATCTTGTGTCTGACTGGCTAGTGTGGTTAGTGGTAGGTCTCGTGTCTGACTGGCTAGTGTGGTCAGTGGTAGGTCTCGTGTCTGACTGGCTAGAGTGGTCAGTGGTAGATCTTGTGTCTGACTGGCTAGTGTGTTTAGTGGTAGGTCTCGTGTCTGACTTGTGTGGTTAGTGGTAGGTCTCGTGTCTGACTGGCTAGTGTGGTTAGTGGTAGGTCTCGTGTCTGACTGGCTAGTGTGGTTAGTGGTAGGTCTCGTGTCTGACTTGTGTGGTTAGTGGTAGGTCTCGTGTCTGACTGGCTAGTGTGGTTAGTGATAGGGCTCGTGTCTGACTTGTGTGGTTAGTGATAGGTCTCGTGTCTGACTGGCTAGAGTGGTTAGTGGTAGGTCTCGTGTCTGACTGGCTGGTGTGGTTAGTGGTAGGGCTCTCGTGTCTGACTGGCTAGAGTGGTTAATGGTAATGCTCGTGTCTGACTTGTGTGGTCAGTGGTAGGTCTCGTGTCTGACTGGCTCGTGTGGTTACTGGTAGGTCTGGTGTCTGACTGGCTACTGTGGTTAGTGGTAGGGCTCTCGTGTCTGTCTGGCTAGTGTGGTTAGTGGTAGGTCTCGTGTCTGACTGGCTAGTGTGGTTAATGGTAATGCCAGTGTCGTGAAGGCACGAAGGCTTGTTTGTTGTGCCCCTGTGTGTGCATGCCTCCTATTTGTGCGTGTGTTCGTGTGGACGCGCATGTGTGTTTGTTAGTGTTGTGGTTAGCGCGATGCGCTACGAACCCAGCGACCCGAGTTCGATTTCCGCTCACAGACAATTATTAATTGAACCGGTCCTGGGTATCCCCTAGGTCAACTTGGCCTCAAATGAGTACCTGGTACAGTGTGTAAACATCGTTATTAGGGAGACGAAGGCGGCCAAGCTTGGTGTTGGCCACCAACCACCTCGTGCTGTACCTGCCTCATAGGCGCTCGCCAACAGCACTTGCCCCGACAGTCTGTTAAGGGTACGCGTCATGTTGCCCACATACCCAGCCACCGCATGCCCAAACAGCTTCTATTTGACCAGATAGAAGGGGCTTAAACGGGCATGGCACGGGCTGGAAAAAAGATGGAATGATGCGGTACAAGATGATGTGGATTTGAGTGGAATTGACGAACACTGGCACCAGTGGTGTCAAGATCGGCCTCTATGGAGGAGGCTCGTGAAGGACACGACTGGGCATTTGGAGGCAGTCACCCTCCAACAACAACGGAGGGCAAAGGAGTGATGCTCACAACAATGAGCGGAGGGCCGGGTGGCTAAAATGCAGCAAGTTGGCACAGTAGGGGGCACTGCTGGTCCCCCATACTGTGCCAACTTGCCACGGTGGTGAGATATTAACTACCTCGCATGGTATACAGAAGGTTACGGGTTTGATCCCGACATGGACACCTATATATTTGGAGTTTGCATGTTCTCCCCGTGGTAGCGTGAATTTTACTCTTAGGTCCTCTGGATTTTCTTTCCACATTTAGAAATGTGCGTTCAGAGTATTTAGCTGCGATAAATTTGCACGTGATAAGTCACTTCGTTTAGCCCATTTGTGGCCATGTTGCTTTTCAAAAAGAGCTTAACAGCTCAGTGGACCTTGCCTGGGAGAAAAAAAAAACGTTCTGCCAGTCATCTCAGTGCTTCAACCCATGGCACCTGGGTCTGTCCCGTGACCTGTCAGCAAGCCTTCGAGATTCCACGTGGCCTCAAAGTGCACCTGGCCTGGCACAACTGCTGTGGTGATGTCACAACCACTCAGTGGTGAATGGCGGCTGTTGGTGTTGTGTCCAATGCAAACTGTGCCAACGTGTTAATGTGTATGTGCGGCCACATGTCAATGAATGTGTTATCACGGCCAACACCAATGATGATTAGATGAACCAGTCCTGGGCCTCCCCTAGGTCAACCCGTCAGTATGTAAACATTGTCATTAAGAAGGCCAAGGCAGCGAAGTGCCTACCACCCACCCACCCACTCCCTCGAGTGCTTTACCGGCCTTCATAGGTGCTCGCTATAGCAACACTTTCCCCAACAGTTTGTTAAACGGAGGGAACCTTGTGTGCCCATGCCAACCGTGCACACACGTGTGAATGTGCCCGCAAGTCAACAATGAGCGTGCGTTCTAAACGCCTTTTTCACGAGCGTTGCGTGCACTTGTGCGTGCTGGCGTGCAGACTGGTTTCGAGCTACCAGTCGGACGACGATGTCTACAACTACACGTTGCGCGTGTGCGACTCCGTGGCCGGGGCCCCCGCCACCGCGGGACTGGTGCAGCGCGACGCCAAGGGAGCCCAGACTGTCGTGGGGCGGATCAATGAGACGCACCTCATCGGCGGCCGTGAGACAACCAGCTCCCCCAATTCCTCTATCTCCCACACCCCCAATCCTGTGTCCTGCACCCACCCTGTCCTGTATCCCCCCCCCCCTCCTTTCCCAATCCTGTATCCCCCAATCCGTCGATCACATTCATGGATCGTCTCTAGACTAAAAAACTAACAAATATTTCTTATTTTGCCAGGTAAAGCCCACTAAGCTCTATGTCTCTTTTTCAGAAGCCACCTGGCTGTCACAAATGATAGCTTGACGAAGTGGCTCATGATCACGTGGGCATTTACAGCAGCCGAATACTCTAATCGTATGTTTATAAATGTCGAGGGAATAACCGGACGACCTGGGGAAAAATCCACGCGGCCACGGGGAAAACATGCAAACTCCAAATATACAGGCGTCAGGGTCGGGATCGAACCCACGTCCTCCTGTCCAACCGGGGGACTAAATAATAACGGTCGTTGCTGCTGTCATTCTTATGTATGTATGTTGAACTTCTTTCGCTCTGCACGTAGCCAAGTGTAATGCTCGCGCGAGGCTCTCATCACGAAGGGAGGCGCTGCTGTGTTTCACAACACAGTCTGCAAGTAGCCGTGCAGTAGAGGGGGGGCGACACCGTGATATAGAATCCATGACAACTGAGTAATTTGCGGTGGTGTAATTGTATTTGGGAATTAATTTGCAAATTCCGACCGTGACGTCGGCACGCAATGGAGTGTTCTTTTCGGGTGAAGCCACTTATATTCACCCTTGAGATCTTGTGTCCTCCTCCTCCTCAGTATTCCAAGGTCAAGGCTCCGTTCCTGGGGTGATTCGGGGCTCTTGCCAGTGCGGCTCCAAGACTGTGGAACGCGTTGGCCTCTGATGATTGATAACACAATCGGAATCTTTAGCGCTGTTTACATCTGCCCTGAAAACTCACCTCTCTAAAATGGCCTTTTCCCCGTAGTTTCAGTCGTTTACGCCGTTGGCTCGGTCTCACGTCCCTGCTTTCCATACACGGTGCTGGCGCATTGGGATTCTTGGATGAAATATGCCTTACAAATGCTATTTATATATATTATAAGCCGTGGGATCTTTAACACTGAGTAATAAAAAAAAAAAAAGTTGATTTCACCTAACAAAAAATTTAACTATAAAAAACAATTTTGTTTTACTAGGTAAGGCCCACTGAGCTATGTAGGTCTTTTTCAGAATCGACCTGACCATCGCAAATTATAGCTCAACAAAGTGGCTTATCGCGTGGGCATTTATAGCTGCCAAACACTCTAAACGTGTGATGTTGATGCTAAATGTGGAGGGGAAACGCCAGAGGATTCGGACGAAAATCCACACGACCACCGGGAAGAGAGACACCGCAAACTCCAAATATACAGCAGCAGGCGTCCGGGACGGGATTGAACCCACGACGACCTCCTGTATACCGAGCGAGGTAGTCAACATCTCGCCACCTTAACGCAGCATTAACCACCAGGTGGGCCCTCTGGATTAAAACCGCGACGCTTCGCGGCGAACCGGCGAACGCGCCACCGCTAGGCAGCAGCGCCGCCGCCGGCCCTCGATTTGACTCTCGAATCTACCGGTTTCTCTTTTGTCTCCTTGTCAACGCACTCCTGGCTCCGTTTGTCCGTCTGTTTAGCAGGAGGTGACAGTAACCCTCGCGATGGTGATCCGGCGCGCGTGAAATGTCCGCGTGACGTCCTGCTGGCGACTCGAGTCCCCGACTCCGACCTTTGACCCCCCCCCCCCCCCCCACATGCTGCCTGTGCGCACAGTCGACTGGATCCTGCTGATTTACAAGGGTGGCGAGGCCTACGACAGCCACTGCCACTCGGAGAAGCGCAAGGCCATGGTCATGATCTCCTGCGACCCCTACAAGCTGGCCGTGCGTGCAGCAGTTCGCGATCGCGCTCAGGCCCACAACCGCGCGCAGTCGCACGCGACCGCTTGCGGTCCCCGTGATCACGCGCAACCGCACACGGTCCCGTAACCACGCGCGATCGCGTGCAATCGCACGCAATCGCACATAGTTGCTGTGATCACGAGCAACCGCACACAGTCTCGTAACCACACTGCGATCGAATGCAAGCGCACGCAATCGCGCGCATTCCCATGCTCGCGCTCAACCGCTCGCTGTCCCATAACCACACGCAATCATCACAACGGTACTATCACCTAATTCAGTAGGCTCCCATGCCATTGACTTTTCCAAGACAGAGGTTCTTTGTAAGCCATCTGGCTTCCATGAGAGATTCGTTCATGAGGCTATCCACATATACAAGCACAGAGACAATTTCAACCGAGAAGATGGATTCTATCTTAGCAATCATTGGAAAGATTTGATAAACCATTTCAGGTCTTAATTGATTGTTCACGCTTACAGTGGCTTTCAGACAGCATCCATTATAAAAAAAATCGTCTCCCCCCTCCTCTTTTCAGAATATAGATGGACTAGTCCTGAATAAACTGCCAAATCGTTGCGCGTGGCGCTAACGTTTTTTATAAATAAATAAATGCACCGCTTACAAATAAATTTATGCAAACCAACACACCTGAAGATGACCGTTTGAGTTATGGTCGAAACGTCGTGAGAATTTTTTATTATTTTATATATATTTTATTATTTTGTTGTTTCCCTTCAACGTGACTTTACCGAAAAAACTAAGAATATAGGTACTATCACCATCAACACCACGAACATGAGCAGAGGGATAGATGGTGATAGAAGGGTGAGGAGGGAGGGAACGAGCGGGTGGATGACCATGCTGATAGATGCGTGGGTTAGAGAGAGAGTGTGGGTTGGGGAGAGATCGGGCGAGAGGAGTGAGGTGAGCGAATTGGTCGATCGGTGAGCGAGAGCGCGAGTGGGTCAGCGGAACGGTTCGCGAGTGATGGAGTGAGAGTTTGAGGGAGTCAGTGGGTTGGCGAAAAAGGGAGTACCGTCACGATCAACACCACGAACATGAACACTAGTATCCTCACCACCACCTCCCCGCTCCTGCCGCCACCACCACCACCACTGAGCACCACCATCATCACCACCCTCACCCCCTTTGCGCGCGTGTACAGAGTCAGCTGACGATCGTGAGCGAGGAGCGGGAGAAGGACGCCGACTGCTTCTATCTGTTTGAGATGAGCAGCTCGGTGGCCTGCAACGACCAGGGCAGCGGCCTCGGAGCCGGCGCCATCATCTTCATCGTGTGAGTTGCGGGCGGTGGGGGCGGCATGCGAGAGAGGGGGTGGAATAGAGGGAGAGGAACAGAGGGAGAGAGAAGGGTGAGGAGGGAGGGAGATGGCCATTCGAATGGATGCGTGGGTCAGAGAGAGTGTCGCTTGGGGAGAGATCGGGTGAGAGGGGTGGCGTCAGCGAGTGGGTCAGCGGATGGGTTTGTGAGGGATCGAGTGAGTGAGCGAAAGGGTGGAGGGACAACTGAGCAAATGAGTCGGGTAGACGATTGGGTGGATGGATGAGTGGGCGAGCGAAAGGTTAGTGAGAGGATGGACGAGCGAGTGGGTGGGTGGGCGGACAGATGGGCGAGTGAATGAGAGAGTGGGCGAGCGCGTGTGTGTGCGTAGGAGAGAAGTGGTGGGGAGCGGTAGTGTCACGGTTAGCGTGCCGCGCTACGAACCTGGCGACCCAAGTTCGATTCCTGCTCACTACCAACACCACTGACGATTATCTCAACCGGTGCTGGGCCCTCCCTATTTGACTCAGCCTCAAATGAGTGTCTGGCGTGGTGTGTAGTAAACATCGCCAGTGGGGAGACAAAGGCGGCCAGGTGTGGTGCTGGCCACCCACCCCTTCGCGTGCCATTCCGGCCTTATGTGCTCACTAACAGCACTTGCCCCAACAGTCTGTTAAGGCTATACGGGGGATCTTTGTCTATGTGTGTGTGCAGGCTGCTGGTGCTTATCGCCGTGTACCTGCTCGGCGGTTTCCTGTACCAGCGCTTTGTGGTTGGAGCGAAGGGCGCAGAGCAAATCCCAAACTACCACTTCTGGCAGAACCTGGGCAACATCCTGGCTGTACGCGCACGCACACGCACACACGCACACACGCACACATGCACTTGTGCATACAGAATACATAGATAACCCCTTATAGCCTTGACAGACTGTTCGGGCAAGTGCTGTTAGTGAGCACGTTTTGAGGCTAGCACGGCACACGAGGGAGTGGGTGGGCCAGTACCACGCCCGGCCGCCTTTGTCTCCCTAGTGACGATGTGTACACACTGCACCAGGTACTTGTTTGAGACTTGAATCGACCCAGGGGAATCCCAGGACCAGCTCCGAATAATATTGACTGGCATTGCCCGCGAGCGGGAATCGAACTTGGGTCGCCGGGTTCTTAGCGCTACACCACTGGCTCCCCCCCTATACTACCGCTCACAGCACACCTACGTATGCACGTACACACACACGCCGCATACAGCACGTGCAAAGACGCGCGCACGTCTGTACACGGATGTAGACGCGACGTTACGCACGGGGTGACGTGCTGCTGGCCGCTGGAGGAGCAGCAGGCGCCCGCCTCGTGCCGGTTTTCCTCGCTCTGCGCGGCGGTGGTAGCAAGTAGGAGGAGTAGTAGATGCATCCCAAACGATGGGCGCACAGAGCGAAACCGCACGGGGAGACAGCTGCCTGCCGCGTAGCGCGCACAGTACACAGTACACACAGTGCGCACAGTACACACACACACACTGTATGTATCTGTGAGCGACAGCTGCAAGTCAAAGTAGCGCCTACAGTGGACACAGTGCACACACAGTACGCACACATTGTATGTGTCTGTGCGTGAGACTTCTGCCTGACGAGTAGCGCATACACTACACACACACACAATGTTGCCCTACGTCCGACCGCATATCTGCGTGCGAGTGAATTCACACCACATAATATCGCCAATTTTGGGTGGAAAATTTTCAGCCGCAGCATCCAAAGTGAGTTCTATTGCGCGGTAGTTGCGTTCCTGAAGAACACGCCATTGTGGAAAAATCTGCTTATAATAAATAATATAGGTCAAAGCACAGTCCACGATAACACGTGAAAATGCGTACGCAGGCCGAACAGAGACTGAGGCGCGTGTGTAGCGTCCAGAAGCATCCGGCAGCATCCCGCTACCTCGTGGTGTGGTGACGATGCTACGCCGAGGCGTAGCAGCACACCCGCTCATTCCTACCCGCGTGACGTAGTTCCATTCACCCGATGGCGTTATATCCAATTCGCGTTATGGAATCGCGCGTTATAGGGGAACATGGCTCGGCAGTGCGAAATCGCACAAACCGAGCCCGCCAAGGGCGAGGCAAACCTGTGCTCGCTTATCCACAAAGAGTTTTCGGTTTACACCGCGATGTCTGCAGAATCTTCATGGGGCTGGGGCTCCGCACTCCGGGCGATTTTGGTCAAAGACGATGAATGGCATTCGATTGCGGGCCACGCTTCTACAACAACCTCAACTTGTAACGCGTCGGCGATGCTGATGATGACGATAACGATGCCGATGATGACGGCAACGACGACGACGCTGACGACGACGATGATGACGACGACGATGATGACGACGACGCTGACGACGACGTTGACGACGATGATGACGACGACGACAATGACGACGATGATGACGACGACGATGACGACGATGCTGACGACGTTGACGACGACAATGATGACGACGACGACAATGACGACGATGACGACGATGCTGACGACGACGATGATGACGATGATGACAATGACGACGACGATGCCGACGACGTTGACGACGATGATGACGACGATGACGACGACAATGATGACGACGACGCTGACGACGATGATGACGACGCTGACGACGACGACAATGACGACAATGACGGTGATGACGACGACGACGACGACAATGACGACGGTGACGATCGTCGTGTGTCGCCGTGCCGCAGGATGGCTGCGACTTCGTGTGCCGCTCCAAGCCGAAGAACCAGGCGGCGGCGTACCGCGGTGTGGGCACCGGGGCCGATGGGGACGGCGCCGAGGAGGAGGAGGAGAGGGACGACCACCTCCTGCCCATGTGACCTGGCGTCTGCCCCCCCGCCCGCACCCCCCTCCCCCCAGCGACTCGCTCCCTCGGGTCGCCACCCCACCCACCCACCTCGCGTCTCTCTCTCACACACGCACAGCCCGCCGGACCTGCCAAACCCATCCCCGCCATCACCCCCTGCTGCCGCCCCCGCTTAGAGACGTAACGACCTCATCGTCGTCGTCGTCGCGATCACCGCCACGTGTCTCGGGGTCACGAGTTCACCGGTCGGAGGTTAGCAGAGCACAATTCATTTACAGCTGCTTGTCAATCCACTGCTGGATGAAGGCCCCCCCCCTCCCCCCACGTCCAGTTCAGTCATGGGGGAATTCTTTTTTTTTTCCATACTTCACTTTTCCGACCGGAGCAGATAAACCACCACTGATGTTAGCCATGGCCCCCGGGGCTGCCGCACTTGTACCGCACCGCGCGCTAACCACTCCGCCACCACTCTTCCCTACCCCCCCCCCCCCCCCCCCCCCCGATTCATGATTCAGGGTGGTGGTACAAATCAGGGTCGTGGTACGATTCGGGGTCACGGTTAGTGTTCCAATTCATCGCAGTGCGAGCCTCTAGCAGTCTACACTGGAGTGGATCTGTAGCTCCCGTCGTGTTCTAAACCTATGGCGTTTGAAGTGTAGTGGTTATGTAAACTCTATAGCAGCATTATTCCATCGAATCTGTAGCAATGTGATATTAAAGACTCTACAGTGGAGTGAATCTAGACTCCACATTAGGGTGAATCTGGAGTCCACGGCAGAGTGAGTCTAGAGTCCACGGCAGAGTGAATCTAGAGTCCACGGCAGAGTGAGTCTAGAGTCCACGGCAGAGTGAGTCCAGAGTGAATCTAGAGTCCACGGCAGAGTGAATCTAGAGTCGACGACAGAGTGAGTCTAGAGTCCACGGCAGAGTGAGTCTAGACTCCACGGCAGAGTGAGTCTAGAGTCTACGGCAGAGTGAGTCTAGACTCCACGGCAGAGTGAGTCTAGAGTCCACGGCAGAGTGAGTCTAGACTCCACGGCAGAGTGAGTCTAGACTCCACGGCAGAGTGAGTCTAGAGTCCACGGCAGAGTGAGTCTAGACTCCACGGCAGAGTGAGTCTAGAGTCTACGGCAGAGTGAGTCTAGACTCCACGGCAGAGTGAGTCTAGACTCCACGACAGAGTGAGTCTAGACTCCACGGCAGAGTGAATCTAGAGTCCACGGCAGAGTGAATCTAGACTCCACGGCAGAGTGAGTCTAGAGTCCACGGCAGAGTGAGTCTAGACTCCACGACAGAGTGAGTCTAGAGTCCACGGCAGAGCGAGTCTAGACTCCACGGCAGAGTGAGTCTAGAGTCCACGGCAGAGTGAGTCTAGACTCCACGACAGAGTGAGTCTAGAGTCCACGGCAGAGTGAGTCTAGACTCCACGACAGAGTGAGTCTAGACTCCCGTGCCACGAGTTATCGATTCCCCGTGCACTGAAAGACGGCGCTTGCATTGCGAGCGTCGGGATTGATTTTCCGATCCACGGATCGTTAACGTCTCTCATTCCCCTTCCTCCCCCGGGGGGGGCCGGGGGGGGGCGTGATGATGAGTGTAGCGTTGTCATGGCGATGACTGGGAGATTTGCTCCATCCGGTCCAACGCATTTGGATGAGGAGGCAGGTGAGAGGGAGGGGGAGAGAGAAAGGGAGAGAGAAAGGGAGAGAGAAAGGGAGAGAGAAAGGGAGGGAGAAAGGGAGAGAGAAAGGGAGAGAGGGGATAATCTTTTTTTTTTGTTCCCCCCTCTGAATCTTTTTAAAATTCGCGAACGCTCGGTCACAGGGGTCGATGCCCCTTGGGAAGGGGGGGGGGGGCGTGGGGTGTCCGTGCAGCCCCCCACAGTTGCCCCCCCCCCCCACCCCATCTCCCTTGCCTGTTGTTGAGTTTTTATATTTCCCGCTTGTGTTTCCTGCCGTTTCTTGCAGAGCGTTCTCTACTGCTGGTTGCTCCACAGTTACCCCCCCCTCCTCCCCCCCCTCCTCCCCCCCCCTCCTCCCCCCCTCCTCCCCCCCCCCTCGGTCTCCAGAACCCCCTCCAACTTGCGCACCCCACCCCCCCCAAAATCCTCCTCCACCTTGCCCCCTCCAATCAATCACTCCACGGGTGTTGGGGGGGGGGGGTGCTGCTCTCGCTGCTGTCACTGTGTTCTTTCACGCTGGGATGGGTGGCCGCGTTGTGCAGCGAGTGGCAGGGTACGCAGTGCCGCGTGCTGCATTCGTTAGTCGTGGTGGGGGGTGCGTGCGTGTGTGTGTGTGCTGTCGTGGTAGGAGGCGGGGGCGCATGTGTGCGCCTTCTGGTAGCGGTTCGGGTGTGTGTGTGCGCGCACTCTACTGGTAGGGGTGGAGTGGGGTGTGGTGCGTGCGTGTGTGCTGTCCTGGTCGGTGTTGTGGTGCGTGTGTGCTGTCCTGGTAGGGGTTGTGGTGCGTGTGTGCTGTCGTGGTAGGGGGTGTGGTGCGTGTGTGCTGTCGTGGTAGGGGTCGGGGTGCGTGTGTGCTGTCCTGGTAGGGGTCGGGGTGCGTGTGTGCTGTCCTGGTCGGGGTGTGGTGCGTGTGTGCTGTCCTGGTAGGGGTTGTGGTGCGTGTGTGCTTGTACTGGTTAGGGGGTGGGGTGCGGTGCGTGTGTGCTTGTACTGGATAAGGGTTGTGGCGCATGTGTGCTTGTACTAGAAGGGGCGTAGTGCGAGTGTGCTGCACTGGCAGGGCTTGTGGTGTGCTGCGAGTGTGCTGCACTGCCGGCGCTGGGAGCGGGGCTCTTCGCGGGATTTTCAGTGTGCGTCCTGCGGGGGTTCGTGTTACGTTCGGAGCTGTTTGCCGAGTTGCAATAAAGCGGAGAGCGGTCATGATGTGCTCACGTGCCCCTGTGCGCGCTCACGTGCCCCTGTGTGTGTTCACGTGCCCGTGTGTGTGTTCACGTGCCCCTGTGCGCGCGCTCACGTACCCCCGTGTGTTCACGTGCCCCCGTGTGCGCGCTCACGTGCCCCTGTGTGTGTTCACGTGCCCGTGTGTGCTCACGTGCCCCTGTGTGCTCACGTGCCCCCGTGTGTGCTCACGTGCCCCTGTGCGTGCGCCCAACCCTCTTCTCTCCAGCCACGTCGTTGATTGTCCTCGGGCCTTGGGAGCGGTGGTGCAGCGGTTAGCGCTACGCTGCGACCCGAGTTTCAAGTTCGATTCCCGCTCACGGCCACCAACATCGGTGACGATTATCTGAACCGGTCCTGGGCCTTCCCCTAGGTTGACTCGGTCTCAAATGAGTGCCTGGTGCGGTGTGTAGTAAACATCGCCACTAAGGGAGACAAAGGCGGCCGGGCGTGGTGTTGGCCACCCACCCCCTCGTGTGCTGTGCCGGACTTGCTACGTGCTCGCAAACAGCACTTGCCCCAACAGTGTGTTAAAGCTATATGGGGGGTCTTTGTCTTTGCCCGTGTACGTGTCTGTGCGTCCACCCCTCTTCTCTCCAGCCACGTCGTCGATCGTCCGAGGGGCCGTCACCTCTTCTGCCCCAATGTTTCTCAGTCAGCCTCGGCCTCTCAACGCTCTGCTGCCTTCACCCGTTGTGATCTGTCTATGTATGTCGAACCTCTTTCGCACCGTACGTAGTCAACCGTGCTAATTGGAGGTCCAGGGGAAGAGAGATATTGGGCGGAAGTCGGCTGCCCTTTTTCCTCCTACTGACCCCGCCTACCCCTACTGACCCCGCCCACTCCTACTGACCGCTCCCATCCCTACTGATCCCGCCCACCTATTTTGACCCCGCCCATCAATACTGACCCCGCCCACCCATTCAGACCCCGCCCACCCATTCAGACCACGCCCACCCATCCTGGCCCCGCCCACCCCCACTGACCTCGCTCACCCCTACTGACCCTGCCCACCTACACAAAGGGGTTGTGGCCTAAGCAGGTAAGGGGGAGCCGAAAGGGTTAACCCCAACTAAGTTGACCTCCAGTTAAAAGGGGGGGGCCCCCCAGCCCGAGCAACTACGAACCCCGCGAGCCTAAAAATAAAAATGACAGCGCCTCAAAGTGAACTTGGGGAAATGTCGAGAAGCGAGGGACTTCAACCGTGAACTTCCCCCGGGTTGGTTGAGGTCCGTGGCCCTTCTTAACCTGGGATTGCACGCTCCGTCTGGGGGTGCGAGACATGGCCGGAGTTTCTTTGAAAAGTCAATCGTCAAAAAACAAGAAACACGGGGAACGTAAACTACTTTGTTTCATCAAATCCCTATGTATTTATTATTATTAACATACATTTACATCATTAGACCTCCTTTGCCAGTACCAAAATATAATAATAAGGGTTTTTACCCTTTTTTCTGGCAACAAAACTGAAACCTTTTTACAAGGATTCATGTCTGCATTCACCACAATACCTGCAGTCAAAATGCAAACAAAAAACATACTGTGATAATATATGGCATTGTCCTTGAAACTGATTGGTGCACACCAAGGGACGGCTTTCTTTTGAGCCTCGACCCAATTGGTGCTCGACCAGATGACGCTAAAAGGCGTCACACAGCTCAAAGACAACGCCACTGTCAAAGTAACGAGGGCTCGGGGTGAGCATCGACATCATTAGACCTCCTTTGCCAGTGGTTAATGCAGACATGAATCCTTGTAAAAAGGTTTCAGTTTAGTTGCCAGAAAAAATGGGGAAAACCCCTATTATTACATTTTGGTACTGGCAAAGGAGGTCTAATGATGTAGATGCTCACCCCGAGCCCTCTTTACTTTGATAGTGGCGTTGTCTTTGAGCTGTGTAAGCGCCTTTTGGCGTCATCTGGTCGAGCACCAATTGGGTCGAGGCTCAAAAGAAATCCGTCCCTTGGTGTGGACCAATCAGTTTCAAGGACAATGCATCATATATTATCATAGTATGTTTTTTGTTGGCATTTTGACTGCAGGTATTGTGGTTAATGCAGACATGAATCCTTGTAAAAAGGTTTCAGTTTTGTTGCCAGAAAAAAGGGGAACAACCCTATTATTATATAATACATTTGTTTAACGATTGCAAACCAAAGGGGTGCAAGGCTGCAACAAAGGTGAAGAAGCGAACGGGTTGCGGCAGGCGAGCCCCGTAAGTGGCGGCCCCACAGGGCCCACGAAGCGTCCTGGGGCCACGGGAGGCTCAACGCAACAGCGAAACCGGCAACTCGGTGCGAGGTCCATTTCTGCTGCCACTCGGGAGCACAGCCAACGGCAATTCCCCCCCCCCCGCCCCCCCGGGCTATGCCGCGGGTAGGCGTTGCCAACTCTGCGACCGAAACTATTCCGTGAGATGGTTTATTTATTAATACGTGAACCAAAAATATCCCACGAACATCTTCCACTGGATTGCTTTCAGGAGTCACGGGTGGAGGAGCTCTCGGCCAATCTGGGACGGTTGGCAACACTCTCGCACTCTACCTCGTGCCCTGACCTGGGGCTGGCTCCAACCCAGGGTCACCGTGGCACTTGTGCCAGGCTAGGTACACCTCGAGTCCACGTGAAGTGTGGAAGGCTCCCTGCTGGTAGATCACGGAACAGATCCAGGTGCAATGGGTTGATTGAGAAGGTTGGCAGATGCACTAACCCCGCTGGTGCCATTCATTGGCAAGTCCACTCACCTCACGTATGTTGAACCAACACCCATACAACACCAGCTCCATCTCCTCTCCAGCCACATGCCTCGTCTGTTTATCCGGCCAAACAGAAGCTGCTTTGGGCAGCATCCGGTGGCCGGGTATGCGGGCTACGCGACTCAACCAATGCAGCCTCGTCTGCCGGAGCTCGCCGATAAAAAAATGTGTCCACATCTTTCAAGGATCCGTGAGCTCATCACACAATCTATGCAGGTTAAACCCACGATGGATCGTAGGCAACCCAGCCTAAACGTTCTAAACCGGCGCAGATGTTCGTTAAGAGGGCTCCACCTTTCGGCAAAAGACCCAAAGCTTTGTGTGTAGCGACATACCAGGTAGCTTCCACACACCAGCGGTTAACGCAGCCGATGAGATAATGCCGCTCTGGTTCGGAGTGAGACCTCTGCTGTCAAACCGGAGCTGGCCATAAGCACACTGCCCAGTTATGGGAACTCCTCCACTCTCTCCTTGTGCTGCCCTGCAGGCTGCCACCTTGTGCTGCCACCTCGTGCTGCCCTGCAGACTGTCACCTTGTGCTGCCCTGCAGGCTGCCACCTTGTGCTGCCACCTCGTGCTGCCCTGCAGACTGTCACCTTGTGCTGCCCTGCAGGCTGCCACCTTGTGCTGCCACCTTGTGCTGCCCTGCAGACTGTCACCTTGTGCTGCCCTGCAGGCTGCTTGAGCGGCAACCTTGCGAACTTATTAACCACATCAGCGGCTCCGACCTATAAATAAACTCCGCGTTCACATCCAATAATTTGTTTTATACATTTGTGGCGCCCATTGTAAAACATAAACACACTGAGATATCTCAGAATATTGAAGTCAGCCTCCCCCCCAAAGTCAAAATCCTGGCTCCGCCTCTGCCCACTGGGACTGTGTCCCGGACACCTTCACACACCTTGACGCACACCACCTGTAACGCCACCGATTACCACGATATAATATATTTATTTAATCCAGCCCGACACAAGCGATCATGACCGCCAACCACAGCTCCACGTTACCACTGCCACCGCCGCCGCCGCCGCCACCAATCACTGGGCAGGATACGGCGTGGACACAGACGCGGGATGTGACGATGAGCGAGACTTGGGGGGGGCAGCAAAGATCGCGTCCCGAAGGACGAGCACCCACCACCCTCGCCCCGCGGAGATGGAGCGATGAAAATTGAGTAAAATCACGGACGGTGGCATCACGGACGCGGTGGGGAGGCGTTCATCCAGCAGTGGATAGGCCATGGCTGACAATGATGGATGAATGATGACGCCCATCATTAACATTACCATTGTTAACGTCGCTGTAAACGTGACCATCGTTAACAGCGACGTAATAAACATCATTCGCTTCTGCGGCCGTCTGGAACGCTCTTCCCGTGACAGGAAACCACTGGAGCTATATACCCTTTTAAATCATCCACATTAAATAAACTCATTTTGAAATATTTTTTTGTGTTTAGTTTGTCGTCCTTCGCCCCCTCCCCCCACACCTCCAATTCGCACGATTGGCTACGTACGGTGCGAAAGAAAGTCAACATTCATCTGCCTATTGGTGGTGAACAGTCCCTCGTCCGGTTTGCCGGAGGGGCAGGTTGAGAGTGGAGAGCGGTAGCGCAGCGGTTAGCGCACTGCGCTGCGAACCCGGCGTCCCGAGTTCAACTCCCACTCACGGTCAACGCCGGTGATGATTATCTGAACGGTCCCTGGGCCTCCGTCCCCTAGGTCGACTCGGCCTCAAATGAGTGCCCGGTGCGGCGTGTCAACATCGCCGCTGGGGAGACAAAGGCGGCCCGGGCGTGGTGCTGGCCACCCACCCCCTCGTGTGCCGTGCCGGCCTTCACAGGTGCTGCTACTCGCTGACAACACTTGCCCCTACAGTCTGTTAACGCCTACACGGGGTGAGGGGGGGAGTCTTTGGGCTGAGGGGAGGAGGCGTGGGGGGGGGAGGAGGCGTGGGGGGGTAAGAAGGTTTTTTGTTTAAAATCTCGATCCAAAAACGCAGCCACCGGGTGGCGGTGCTGGCGCGCGCGTCCCTGGTGCGGTCGTGTTGTGGCCCGGTGAGAGCTCAAGAGGGCAGGGCAGAGTGAATGAGTGGGTGGGTGAGTGGGGTTGGCGAGTGGGTGGGTGTGTGTGTGGGTGTGTGCATGGGCGAGTGGGTGGGTGGGCGAGTGAGTGGGTGGGTGTGTGGGTGGACGAGTGAGTGGGTGGGTGTGTAGGTGGGCGAGTGAGTGGGTGGGTGTGCGGGTGGGCGAGTGGGTGGGTGGGCGAGTGGGTGGGTGGGCGGGCGAGTGAGTGGGTGGGTGTGTGGGTGGGCGAGTGAGTGGGTGGGTGTGTGGGTGGGCGAGTGGGTGGGTGGGCGGGCGAGTGAGCGGGTGGGTGTGTGGGTGGGCGAGTGAGTGGGTGGGCGGGCGGGTGGGCGAGTGGGCGGGTGGGTGGGCGAGTGGGCGGGTGGGTGGGCGAGTGGGCGGGTGGGTGGGCGAGTGAGCGGGTGGGTGGATGGGCGAGTGAGTGGGTGGGTGGGTGGGCGGGCGGGCGAGCGAGTGAGTGGGTGGGTGGGCGGGCGAGTGAGTGGGTGGGTGGGCGAGCGAGTGAATGGGTGAGTGGGTGGGTGGGCGAGTGAATGGGTGGGTGAGTGGGTGGGTAGGCGAGTGAGTGGGTGGGCGGGTGTGTGGGTGGGTGGGGTTGGCGAGTGGGTGGGTGAGTGTGTGGGTGGGCGAGTAGGTGTGTGAGTGGGGTTGGCGAGTGGGTGGGTGGGCGGGTGAGTGAGTGGATGGATGGGTGGGCGGGTGAGTGGGTGGGTGTGTGGGTGAGTAGGTGAGTGGGTGAGTGTGTGGGTGAGTAGGCGAGTTGGTGAGTGGGTGGGTGGGCGGGTGAGTGAGTGGGTGGGTGTGTGGGTGGGTGAGTAGGTGGGTGAGTGGGGTTGATGGGTGAGTGCATGAGTGAGTGCGTGGGTGAGTGTGTGGGTTGGTGGATGATTGAGTGGGTGGGTGACCGAGTCAAGTCAATTGTGTTTAACCAGGTGAGAACTCGCAGACCGGATGAATGAGTGGATTACTTAATATGTGGGTGAATGAGATGGTGGGTGAGTGGATCAGTGAGTAAGTTAATGATTGGGTAGATGGGTGGATGGGTGAGTGAGAAGGCGAGTGAATGATTGAGTGAGTGGGTGAGATGGGCGGGTGAGTGAATGAGTGCATGGGTGGGTTGGTGAGTGAATGAGTGCATCGGTGAACGAGTGAATGAGTGGCCGAATGCGTTTTGTGTTGTTGTCCTTCCCCCGCACCTCCGATTAGCACGGTTGGCTACGTATGGTGTGAAAGAACTTCATCACACACACACACACACACGCGCGTCTACACATGAATGGTGCAGGCGAGTCACGTTGCAAGTTGGTTCCGTTTCAACCCGTGGATAACTCGAGAGACAGAGAGAGAGAGAGAGCGAGACCAGCACATAGCAGTCTCATTCCCCAGAGCCACGGCTCGCCCCGGACTACACCACCACGTTGCGTGCAGACACGACTTTTGAATTCCACTACAAAGTCACTCTCTCCCGCTCGGCGCGACCACGAATTGCCGGGCCGCTGCAAGTGCGCAGCATTCGCGAGCTGCCAACGGGCCCGAGTGAGGTGTCCGTGGAGGTTCTTCAGTTCAATTGGCATAGCGGGGGTCACCTCCGTCTCACCGCTGAACCACCCCCCGCCCCCCACCGCCCAACCCCAGGGTTCCAAGGACCAATCTGTCCACCACGGTACGGCTCAACACCGAGGGGGTAACCTCACCCCTCACGGAGGGGTTTCACTGCCGCAGGGTCCCCACCTGTCCTGCGTCGGGGCAGCGCCACTTGAACCCTCCCTCTGACCCCCCCCCCCCGCCCCCCAAAGGTGGCACCCCTACCCTCGGAACCTCGGAACCTCCGACCCTCGGAACCTCCGACCCCTCCCGACCAGACCCCGCGCCCCGACCCATCAGCCGGCCGCCTTGTCGGGCGGGGTCCACGTGGCGCGCGTCTGCTCGCACGCGGCGCCCCCCAGGGTGCCGGGCCTCGCCGGGGTCCGGGGTGGCCCCTGGGCGTGCTTGAGCTGCGCGTCGTCGCCCCGGGTGCCGGGCGGGTCCCATCGCGAGCAGCCCTTCCAGAGCACCACGGCGACCAGGACCACCGTGGGGACGCCGATGACGAGCGGCACCACGATGAGCGCCGTGCGGGCATCCTCCGAGACTGCGGGGCGAGGGGGGGGGGGGGCGGTGAGTGACCTCACCTCGGGGCCTCGCCCCATCATCAAAGACAAAGGCGCTCCCCCCCCCGCGTGTAGCCTTCGCAGGCTGGTGGGGCAAGGGAAGGCCGGTCGAGGCAACCGCGCGGGGCGGCTGGCCAACACCACGTGTGCGAAGGCTTCGTTGTGGTTACTCGTTTGAGGCAGAGTCGATCTAGGGGACGCCCAGGACCAGTTCAGATGTTCGCTGTCAATTTGGCCGTGAGCGGGAATCGCACTTGAGTCGGTGGCTTTGTCGCACAGTGCGCTCACCACTGCGCCACCGCTCCTCCCATCACTCTGTCACCCACTGACACACTCACTGTCTCAACCACTCGCCCTCTCACCCAGTCACTCACCTTCACATTATCACTCACCCACTAACACGTTCACTCCCTCACTCACCCACTAACACATTCACTCCCTCACTCACCCACTAACACATTCACTATCTCACTCACCCACTGACACATTCACTATCTCACTCACCCACTGACACATTCACTATCTCACTCACCCACCGACACATTCACTATCTCACTCACCCACTGACACATTCACTATCTCACTCACCCACTGGCACATTCACTATCTCACTCACCCACTGACACATTCACTATCTCACTCACCCACTGACACATTCACTATCTCACTCACCCACTGACACATTCACTATCTCACTCACCCACTGACACATCCACTATCTCACTCACCCACTAACACATTCACTATCTCACTCACCCACTGACACATTTACTATCTCACTCACCCACCGACACATTCACTATCTCACTCACCCACTGACACATTCACTATCTCACTCACACACTGACTCATTCACTATCTCACTCACCCAATGACACATTCATTATCTCACTCAACCACTGACGCATTCACTATCTCACTCACCCACTGACACATTCACTATCTCACTCACTCACTGACACATTCACTATCTCACTCACCTACTGACACATTCACTATCTCACTCACCCACTGACACATTCACTCACCCTCATCCACCCCCTCACTCCCTGCCCCCTGTCGTGCCCCCCCACCACCCCCACACCCCAGCCGTGTGTCTGCGTGGTGGGGTCACTCACGGCACGTGGTGGGGTCACTCACGCCACGTGGTGGGGTCACTCACGGCACGTGGTGGGGTCACTCACGCCACGTGGTGGGGTCACTCACGGCACGTGGTGGGGTCACTCACGGCACGTGGTGGGGTCACTCACGCCACGTGGTGGGGTCACTCACGGCACGTGGTGGGGTCACTCACGCCACGTGGTGGGGTCACTCACGGCACGTGGTGGGGTCACTCACGGCACGTGGTGGGGTCACTCACGGCACGTGGTGGGGTCACTCACGGCACGTGGTGGGGTCACTCACGCCACGTGATGGGGTCACACACGGCACGTGGTGGGGTCACTCACGCCACGTGGTGGGGTCACTCACGCCACGTGGGGGCTGTCACTCACGGCACGTGGTGGGGTCACTCACGGCACGTGGTGGGGTCACTCACGGCACGTGATGGGGTCACTCACGGCACGTGGTGGGGTCACTCACGGCACGTGGTGGGGTCAGTCACGGCACGTGGTGGGGTCACTCACGGCACGTGGTGGGGTCACTCACGGCACGTGGTGGGGTCACTCATGGCACGTGGTGGGGTCACTCACGGCACGTGGTGTTGCAGTTGAGGAGTCCTCTTGAGTCCACGCGCCGGGAGGACGCCACTGTGGGTGCAGCAGAGGGGGGGGGGGGGGTGGTGAGGGGAGGTCATCGATGACAATCGGGCGGTGGTGGCAGCGGTGCAGTGACAACGCTTCACGCCTCACGGCAAGAACCTGGGTTCGATTCCCAGCTGGGGCGCTCCTCTCGCTCTCTCTGGAATCTGTGTGCGTGCGTGTGCGTGCGTGCGCGTGTGTGTGTGCACGTGTGTGTGTGCGTGCGTGTGTGTGCGTGTGTGTGTGCGTGCGTGTGTGCGTGTGTGTGTGTGTGCGTGTGTGTGTGTGCGTGTGTGTGCGTGCGTGCGTGTGTGCGTGTGTGTGCGTGCGTGTGTGTGTGTGCGTGTGCTTTCTCCCGATGAGTCAGATGCCTTCTATGACCTCCTGTCACAGGTGCTGGCTAAAGTGGCCCCTCGGGATAGAGTCATCATGTTGGGTGACTTCAATGCCCGAGTTGGTCATGATACTGGCACCTGGTCTGGAGTGATTGGAGGGCATGGGCCAGATCAGCTCAATAACAACGGTAGGAGGCTGCTAGATTTTTGTGCAGCCCATGGGCTTGTAATTACCAACACGCTGTTCCGGCATCGGCGCATCCACACAACATCATGGATGCATGCCGGGTCCAAGCAAGAACATCTGCTGGACTACATAGTGACGGACCAGCGAATGCGAGCCCATGTCCTTGACACCAGGACCTACCGTGGAGCTGATCTGCCCTCTGACCATCGACTAGTCATCTGTAAGATGCGCCTGCCATTTTTCCACTCCGGTGGTGGGTGTACACCCAGGACCCCATTCCAACCTAAAGTGGCCTGGTCTCAGTTATCTGATGAAAGTTGCAAGCGAGAATTTCATCATCGCTTGCGGCTGGGATTGGTATCGTCCCCGACTCCTCCTGATGTCGAGGGTAAATGGGCGAGGTTTAGGACTGTGACTCATGCAGCTGCAATGGCTGCTTTGGGTACGCGGTCCAGACCTCCCCAGACACCCTGGATGACAGAGGAGTTGTTCACGATGGTTGAGAAAAAGCGACAGGCCCACTGTCATCGGCTACAGAATCCCACGTCAGAGAATGAGGAGGCTTACCGCAGCCTTCGCTCGGAGGTTCGGAGAGCCGTGAGGCGCTGCAAGGATGGGTGGTGGTCGCGGGTTGCTGAGGAGATGGAGTCTGCCTCAGTGGCCCGTGATCACAAATCTCTATTTAACTCCATCAAAAAAGTAACCTGCAGCGCCACACCTATTACCATCATTAGGGGAAAAAACGGTGATCCAATTTCCGACCCCCAGGAACAGGTTCGCAGATTTGCTGAGCATTTCTGTGAGGTCCTGGGGGAGGGAAAATCCCTCAGCCAGGAAAACATCGTGGCACAAAGTGAGGATGACCCTGCTGAGGCTGCGGTGCCTCAAATATTGGATGAAGTCACCCCATGTGAGTGGCTGGCTGAGGTGCCATCTGCTGAGGAAGTATTGAAGGCGATACGGAGTCTGAGACCAGGAAAGGCAGCGGGCAGAGATGATCTCCCAAGCGAAATGCTGAGGGAGGGTGGCGTTTGCGCACAGACTGCCCTATATGACATCATAACAACAGTCTGGACCACTGGACGGGTTCCGCAGGATTGGAAGGATGCCCTGGTGGTCCCCCTTTTTAAGAAGGGGGACTGCACAGACTGTAACAACTACAGGGGCATCTCACTCCTCAGTGTGCCGGGAAAGGTCCTGGCAAGGATTATTCAGCATCGCCTTGCCAGGCACGCTGAGGAGAGGCTTGCGGAGCCCCAATGTGGTTTCAGGAAAGGGCGGTCCTGCACAGATGCCATATTTTCTGTCCGTCTGCTACAGCAGAGGTGTAGGGAATTCCAACAAGACCTACATCTCTGCTTTATTGACCTGGTCAAGGCCTATGATACCATCAGTAGGCCTGGGCTCTGGGTCGTTCTTCGTGCTTTTGGAGTACCTGACCCTCTGCTCACGATCATTAAGGACCTTCATGATGGTGAGCGGGCCCGGGTAAAACTACGCGGCCGGGAGTCAGAGCCATTCCCTGTACACCGTGGGGTGCGACAGGGATGTCCTCTGGCTCCCACATTATTTAACATCTATTTTGACCACGTAGTTCGTGAAGCCTTCAATAGCTGTACCGGGGGAATCTCCATATGGTACAGATATAATGGGAGGCTAATCGATGCCCGGGTGCGGTCAAGGGATGGCTCCCTATTGCTCAACCACGTTATGTATGCTGATGACTTGGTAATAGCTGCTCAGTCAGAGGAGGAGTTGGAGACGCTGCTGCTGAGACTGGAGCGTGCCACTAAGAGGTGGGGCCTTACCATCAGCCCAACCAAAACTAAGCACCTGCCTGTGTATTTTGTACCATCGGACACTCCACCCCCACAACTCCCAATCGGTGATGGGGCAGTTGTGGAGAGAGTGGAGAGTTTCCCATACCTGGGCAGTGTGCTTATGACTGGCTCCAGTTTAACAGCAGAGGTCTCACTCCGAATCAGTCGAGCGGCAATATCTTTTCATCGGTTGCGTAACGCTGTGTGGAAGCTACCTGGTCTGTCGCTCCGCACTAAACTTCAGGTCTTCTCGGCCACGGTCATTCCCTCCCTTCTCTACGCTTGCGAAACGTGGACCCCCCTAATGGAACATCTTCGCCGGTTAGAAACATTTAGGCTGGCCTGCCTACGATCCATCCTGGGTTTAACCAGACTGGATTGTGTGAGGAGCTCACAAATCCTTGAAAGATCTGGGCAGGGTCCCATCGGTGAGCTCCTCCGGCAGGCAAGGCTGCGATGGCTGGGTCATGTAGCCCGCATGCCCAGCCACCGCATGCCGAAACAGCTTTTGTTTGGCCGGATTGAGGGGGCTAAGCGGGCGCGGCACGGGCTAGAGAAGAGATGGAGTGATGTGGTACAGGAGGACGTGGAGCTGAGTGGACTTGCCGATGACTGGTACCAGCGGTGTCAAGATCGGCCTCTGTGGAGGAGGCTCGTGAAGGATGCTACTGGGCAGTTGGAGGCAGTCGCCCTCCAACAACAACGGAGGGCGGAGGAGCGACGCTCACAACAGCGAGCGGAGCGCCGGGTGGCTAAAGCACAGCAGGTTGGCACAGTAGGGGGCACAGGTGGTGCATCAGCCAGTCATCTCAGTCAGTCGACCCGTGGCACCTGGGTCTGCCCCGTGACCTCCTGCCAGCGGGCGTTCGACACTTCACGTGGCCTCAGGGTGCACATAGCCTGGCACAAGCGTCGTGGTGACGTCACCGCCACTTAGTGGCGAATGGCGGTTGTTGTTGTGTTGTTGTGTGCTTTCTCTCTCCCTCCTCTCCATTGGCTTCCTCTCACAGCTAAACCCCCCCACACGCACGCACAGTGGAACTGCTATCGAGCAATCCCCTGCAAATCATTCAACTTGGATCACACAGCGGCAGCGTTCCCCCGGTGAACACGCGCTATCCCAACAACAATTAGTTATTTAATCACAACAAATAATCAATTTTTATTTAAAGCTTTCGTGACTGCAGGGATTCATATTCTTGGTTCTTTCGGTAAAGTCACGTAGAAGGGAAACAATAAAATAATACAAATATAAAACAATAAAATTCTCACGACGTTTCGACTGCAACACAAGCAATCATCATCAGGTGCCGAAACGTCGTGAGAATTTTATTGTTTTATATTTTTTTATTATTTTATTGTTTCCCTTCTACAAGAAAATTTTCTTGCTGTGGTTTTCACACCAGTCGAAACGTCGTGAGAATTTTATTGTTTTACATTTTTTTTAATTTTATTGTTTCCCTTCTATGCGACTTTACCGAGAGAACCAAGAATAACAAATAAATAGTCCCCACGACTAACAACGGCATTCGCCGGCCCTCTCATCTGGCAGTGGATTTTGTCTCGAGCGCCGCACACGTGCAGCGGGCCACGAGGATGAGGGAGGGGTGCCGCCTTCAGCTTCCTCGCTGGACACCGACGGCACCGTGGGGGGGACAGATCTCTCGGTCAGCACGGGGGCAATCGTCAGTAACCGTGTTGTCTCCTGTGATCACCGGGACCAGATCCCGGTCCCAAACAAATCCTTACGCCGTCACTCGAACGCAGACGCCAGTTCCTGGGCAGGCGGTGACCATCGTGGATGATTGAGTGGGCGGGTGAGTGGGTGGATGAGTATGTTGATGATTGAGAGGGTAAATCATTGGGTGAGTGGGTAATTGAGTGGATGAATAAGTAGGTATATGGGTGAATAAGAGGGTGGGTGGGCGAGTGGGTGCATGGGTGGATGTTTGGATGAATACGTGGCTGAGGAGGTAGATGATTGAATGGGTGCACGAGTTGGGTTGAGCGAGTGGCCGAGTTGGCGAGTGGATGGGTGGATTATTGAGTGGGCGAGCAGGTGAATGGGTGGGTGAGTGGGTGAGTAGGTGGACGAGTGGGTGATTAGGTGGACGAGTGGGTGAGTAGGTGGGCGAGTAGGTGAGTAGGTGGGTAAGTGGGTGATTAGGTGGGTGAGTGGGTGGGTAGGTGGGCGAGTGGGTGAGTAGGTGGGTGAGTGGGTGAGCAGGTGGGTGAGTAGGTGGGCGAGTGGGTGGGAAGGTGGGTGATTGGGTGAGTAGGTGGGAGGGTGGTTGAATAGGTGGGTGAGTGGGCGAGTGGGTGGGTAGGTGGGTGATTGGGTGAGTAGGTGGGTGAGTAGGTGGGTGAGTGGGTGAGTACGTGGGTGGGTGGGTAGGTGGGTGAGTAGGTGGGTGAGTAGGTGGGCGAGTGGGTGAGTAGGTGGGTGAGTAGGTGGGCGAGTAGGTGGGTGAGTAGGTGATTAGGTGGGCAGGTGGGTGAGTAGGTGGGTAAGTAGGTGGGCAAGTGGGTGAGTAGGTGGGTGAGTAGGTGGGCGAGTGGGTGGGTAGGTGGGTGATTGGGTGAGTAGGCGGGTGAGTAGGTTGGTGAGTAGGTGGGTGAGTAGGTGGGTGAGTGGGTGAGTAGGTGGGTGGGTGCGTGAGTAGGTGG